AAAACGTTCGTTCAAATCTCCACAATTTTTCCTTACACCTGCTCACAGAACACGGGACCTTGTTGACACACGTTTCCATCGTGTCTCGTTTCCATATCCTTTGACCTTGTCCCCTCAGTTGGGAAACTCCGTGGGTTCCCTTTAAATTCCCAGCATTGTGGAATGTCACCAGTGAAGTTGAAACCGCGACTACTGACTACAATGCTCTGAAACATTTACAAGCAATGTTAACAAATGCAGATGCTTACTGGCTGCTTTAATCAAAGCCTGGGGTTTTCCTTGGGTAGTCAACACTACTGGCACCTTTCCGACTTTCCAGACGATAGTCTTATATTGGGCCATGAGGAGGTATGAGACTCACAGGCGAGTGTCGTCCTTTCTACAATCATTTACTCCTTCATTCTCGTTGCCTTTCTGATGTGGTCCCTTTACACAACACGGTCCATGACATTTTGTTCCCACGAGTCCACTTCAATACCTGTATCATTCATGTCCCGCTTTCACGCATCTTTAAATCGTAGTAAAGGGCGTCCTCGACATCTTCTACCCATTTCTAATCACCATAGTGGATGTCCTCCATTCTCCAGGTGTGACACAGCCACCTGAACCTTGGTGGACAGCATGAGGTGTAAAATAAAAGGTGTTGTTATGCATCGGAAAGTGTCTACTAAGCTGGTGTTCAGAAGAAAGGTGTATGTTCTGTCTACAGGGGGAGGGGGAGGCGATAAATGTATGGATTTTGAACTTCCGAGGTGGGTTCCGGGGCCCCGTTATAGGGAAAACAAGAATAGACCAACTGCCTACCCAAACGCATGTCGTATGAGTCGACTAATTGGGAGCTTCCTTCAAAGTCGGAGTGCATCTGCCTGAGAGGCAAGGAAACAGCAAGATCCATACAGATGAGTCAGATCTGTTGAACGGATGCACATGCAACAGTCAGGTACTGGAACAGGACTGCAGTCGAGAAGTGGATGAACAACCAGAACTTTCCGCCAGTAAACGCGAAGAAGAAGAAGAACACTCCTTCCCACGCCTGTTCGGACTTTTACGAATGTGCACTGACTACGATGCCTACAAATTTGCAAGCCCAAAAAATGGCATCAATACACTATTATAGTGCTCGCAAATTCCTTGACACATGAAGGAAGATTAGAAGACGGCTGATCAGGAAAGGCGGGGAGAGGATGTGGATGTGAAAAGGATGAGATGCCAGCTATTGTGAGGATGATGGGGGGAGGGGGGGGGGTTTAGGGTGTTGAATACAAGCACTTGTAAGGATGATAGGGTTGGGGCGGGGGTGGATACAAGTAACTTAGTGTGATCGGACCGGGGGGGAAGGAGGGGGGATACTATCAACTGTAAGGATGATCGCACTGAGGTAAAAGGGGGGGGGGGGGTGGAAACTAGCAACTGAAAGGATAAAGTGGGGGGGGGGGGTGGATGCTAGCAACTGAAAGGATAAATGAGGGGGGGGGGGGATACTAGCAACTGAAAGGATAAAGGGGGGGGGGGTGGATGCTAGCAACTGAAAGGATAAAGGGGGGGGGTGGATGCGAGCAACTGAAAGGATAAAGGAGGGGGGATGCTAGCAAGTGAAAGGATAAGGGGGGAGGGGGATGCTAGCAACTGAAAGGATAAGGGGGGGGGGGATGCTAGCAACTGAAAGGATAAAGGGGGGGGGATGCTAGCAACTGAAAGGATAAAGGGGGGGGGGATGCTAGCAACTGAAAGGATAAAGGGGGGGGGGGAATGCTAGCAACTGAAAGGATAAATGAGGGGGGGGGGGAGTGGATACTAGCAACTGAAAGGAGGATTCCATGGGGTGGATACTAACATTTGTAAGGATGGATGGGGAGAGGGGGGGGGGTGGATACTAGCAAGTGTAAGGATAATCGGGGGTGGGGTGGATACTAGCAAGTGTAAGGATGATCGGGGGGGGGGGGTGGATATTAGTAAGTGTAAGGATGATCGGGGGGGGGGTGGATACTAGTAAGTGTAAGGAAGATCGGGGGGGGGGGGGGTGGATACTAGTAAGTGTAAGGATAATCGGGGGGGGGGGGGTGTGGATACTAGCAAGTGTAAGGATGATCAGGCTGGGGGGGGGTGGATAATAGCAAATGTAAGGATGATCGGGGGGGGGGGGTGGTGGATACTAGCAAGTGTAAGGATGATCGGGGGGGGGGGGTGGATACTAGCAAGTGTAAGGATGATCGGGGGGTGGTGTATACTAGCAAGTGTATGGATGATCGGGGGGCGGGGGGTGGATACTAGCAAGTGTAAGGATGATCGGGGGGGGGGGGGTGGATACTAGCAAGTGTAAGGATGATCGGGGGGGGGGGGTGGATACTAGCAAGTGTAAGGATGATCGGAGGGGGGGGGTGGATACTAGCAAGTGTAAGGATGATCGGGGGGGGGGGGTGGATACTAACAAGTGTAAGGATGATCGGGGGGGGGGGGTGGATACTAGCAAGTGTAAGGATGATCGGGCTGGGGGGTGGATACTAGCAAGTGTAAGGATGATCGGGCTGGGGGGTGGATACTAGCAAGTGTAAGGATGATCGGGCTGGAAGGGGGGGGGGGGTGGATACTAGCAAGTGTAAGGATGATCGGGGGGGGGGGTGGATACTAGCAAGTGTAAGGATGATCGGGGGGGGGGGGGTGGATACTAGCAAGTGTAAGGATGATCGGGGGGGGGGGTGGATACTAACAAGTGTAAGGATGATCGGGGGGGGGTGGATACTAGCAAGTGTAAGGATGATCGGGCTGGGGGGTGGATACTAGCAAGTGTAAGGATGATCGGGCTGGGGGGGGGGGGTGGATACTAGCAAGTGTAAGGATGATTGGGCTGGAGGGGGGGGTGGATACTAGCAAGTGTAAGGATGATCGGGCTGGGGTGGATACTAGCAAGTTTAAGGATGATCGGGGGGGGGGGGAGTGGATACTAGCAAGTGTAAGGATGATCGGGGGTAGGGGGGGTGGATACTAGCAAGTGTAAGGATGATCGGGGGGGGGGGTGGATACTAGCAAGTGTAAGGATGATCGGGGGGGGGGGGGTGGATACTAGCAAGTGTAAGGATGATCGGGGGGGGGGTGGATACTAGCAAGTGTAAGGATGATCGGGGGGGGGGGGGTGGATACTAGCAAGTGTAAAGATAATCGGGGTGGGGGGGATAATAGAAAGTGTAAGGATGATCGGGCTGGGGGGGGGGTGGATACTAGCAAGTGTAAGGATGTTCGAGGGGGGGGGGTGGATACTAGCAAGTGTAAGGATGATCGGGGGGGGGGTGGATACTAGCAAGTGTAAGGATGATCGGGGGGGGGGGGGTGGATACTAGCAAGTGTAAAGATAATCGGGGTGGGGGGGGGATAATAGAAAGTGTAAGGATGATCGGGCTGGGGGGGGGGGTGGATACTAGCAATTGCAAGGATGATCGGGCTGGGGGGGGGGTGTGGATACTAGCAAGTGTAAGGGTGATTGGGCTGGGGGGGGGGAGGGGTGGATACTAGCAAGTGTAAAGATAATCAGGCTGGGGGGGGGGGTGAATACTAGCAAGTGTAAAGATAATCAAGCGGGGGGGGGGGGGGGTGGATACTAGCAAGTGTAAGGGTGATCGGGCTGGGGGGGGGGGGTGGATACTAGCAAGTGTAAAGATAATCAGGCTGGGGGGGGGGGGTGGATACTAGCAAGTGTAAAGATAATCAGGCTGGGGGGGGGGGTGGTGGATACAAGCAAGTGTAAGGATGATCGGGGGGGGGGGGTGGATACTAGCAAGTGTAAAGATATTCGGGCTGGGGGGGATAATAGAAAGTGTAAGGATGATCGGGCTGGAGGGAGGTGGATAATAGCAAGTGTAAAAATAATCGGGGTGGGGGGGGGTGGGGTGGGATACTAGTAAGTGTAAGGATGATCGAGCTGGGGGTGGTGTGGATACTAGCAACTGCAATGATAATCGGCGGGGGGGGGGGGGGGGGGGGGGTTGGATACTAGCAAGTGTAAGGATGATCGGCCTGGGGGGGGGGGGGTGGATACTATAAACTGTAGGGATGAATGGGCGGAGTGTGGATACTGGCAAATGTAAGGATGGAATGGGGGGGGGGGGTGGATACTATCATATTTAATGATGAATGGGGGTGGTGGATACTAGCAACTGTAAGGATGAATGGGGGGGGGGGGGGTTGATACTTGCAACTGTAAGGAAGATGGAGGAGAGGGGGGGTGTGTGGATACTAACATCTGTAATGATGTATTGAGGAGGATGGATACTAGCAACTGTAAGGATGATCGGGGGGGGGGGGGGTGGATACTAGCAACTGTAAGACTGATCAAAGGGATGGGAAAGAATGCCGATAAGAAAAGAGAGGAGGTGGATACGAGCAACTGTAAGGATGATCAACAAGAGAGAGAGAGAGAGAGAGAGGGAGAGAGAGAAGGGGGTTAGGAAAAGGCTTTAATAAAAAGTAGTGGGCGCGAGCAACTGTAAGTAGGTCATAGTGTCAGATTCAAATAGTCGGTCAGTTTTTCAATTCTACCATGCCCATAAATAACAATCAATCTACTGAACTTTCTGGTCAAAGTCTTGCCAACCGAACCACCTGCAGCCCAAAGTTTATGTTTACAGCATATGCCCTTTGACCTTTTTTGGAACTGGTATATAATCCATAAAACAATATGCATTTATTGATATTTTTTTTCTTGTTAAAAAAAAAAAAAAAAATTAGCAAATTTAAATATTTATCTTCAAACTTATACTAATACTTTATGCTACTTTTTGTTTTGACGTGAATTATATCACCCTATAATTTAGTTAGTAAATTTTTTAAATGATTGTTTTGTGCATTTTGAGCTCAATAACACTTTTTGAACTTATAATCCAAAGGTTGCAGAAGTGATGTGATGTAGCTCCAGGAAGGACCTGTTAGCCTTTTGGTTTGTAGTTTATCTGTTGTAGTGAAACAGTGCCCTAGATTTTCTTTAGCAGAAGGACCTTAACATTAACACTATGGCGGCAAACACCGGGTAAGGAATTATAAACAAAATGCATTGTGTGCACTGTATGCGTGACTGTGACTACATGTAGTTTTTATTTTTATTAGGGCAGGACTTCTTCTTCTTCGTTTTCTTCTTCTTTTTCGCGTTCACCGCTGTAAACTGTAAACTCTGGCCGAAAGTTCTGGTTGTTGAACAACTTGTTCATCCACTTCTGGACTGCAGTCGTGTTCCAGAACCTGAGTGTTTCGTGTGCATCCGTTTTACTGACCTGACTCATTTGTATGCAGACTGTTGGTTCCTTGCCTCTCAGGCAGATGTACTCCGACTTCGTAGAAAGCTCCCAATTATTTACTCTCCCTACATGCTTTTGGGTAGGCAGTGGGTCTGTAATTGTTTTCCCCACAATAGGTACCTGGAACGCACACGACGAATATAGGGCAGGGCTAAAAATTTGTGCAGCTGAAGCCTAGTAAGTGGCCCGCAGAGGCCTAATCATTTGTATTAATGATATTTCTACGCTGAGGCTTAGGCTTCTGGCCCGTGACCATCCCCATTTTCAACATGTTGCCCCTGTGTAAACTTATTTAAACAGCCCTGTAGTAACAAAGTTGATTTTTTTTTTTTCAAATAACCCTTCAGAAGTTTGAAGTTCAAACAACGAATCAACATCATGGCACACGAGTAGTGACATAAGCGCAGCACATTGCACAGGCTTTGTAGCTCGGGCAAGAATCCTGAAATACTTTGGGTAGATTTTAAACTCCACATTTTTGCCCAGGCAGCGCTGTTAGGCAAATCTTTTTGATTGCCAACTGCCAAGGGATTTTGTGTGTGTACATCAATGCACACGGGCATCCGATCATACTACCCAGAAACCAGGGGCAGTTACTAGAAGTCCAAGTGGGTCTATTTTTTTCCTTCCACAATGGAACCACAGAACCCACAGGGAGAGTGGTAGCATTAGAGATCCGAGGGTAAGGCAGCCATGCCAGGCAGATCATGTTTGTAAACGTGGGAAGAGAATGTCAGAACAGGTTTGAGTAAAAGAAAGGATGACCCATAAACTTAAGGGGTCGACCAGCACAATGATGGACACAGGATATCAAGGACATCAAAGAGCATGGAAGTTCATGAGACAGGAAAGTAGGAAAGTAAGCAGGGGACTGAGGGGTTTCCCTGCAAACTGAAGAAAGTGATCTCTTGCAAAGGATCTGCTCCACAATGTGATATAATATATGAAGCATTTAGGGCTGAAAGGACAGGCAGGGACTGGAGTGCTGAAAAAGCTGAGCAAAGCAAGCAGAAAAAGCATTTCGGAACAACCAGCTTAACACATAAGTGTAGTTATAAAACATAACAAATAACGAGGTTATCCATATAGTTGCCTAGCAGATTAGCTACTATGCACTTCTTTTAACTACAATGAAAATATGAAAAATGCAGTGGTGCGGACATGTAATAAAATCTCATGGCCTGTCAAAAATAATACTTCAAAGCTCAGTAGAAGGGAAGAGGTAGACCAAGAAAGACCTGAATGCAGAACTTGGCTGACTGGACAGGACTTATGCATGCAACCACGAAGTCTGTTACATCTGACCATTAACGGTGGAGGGAGCTGATCAGTCAGTCAGCAGCAACTGCTGATCCAACAACAGTTAAATGGCATAGTGCTCTGTGGCCTAGTCAGGCTCACACAGCCCAGTAGTAATGGTAACAGCCTCTTTGTCTCATGCCAGCATCCTTAACATCCTTCCAATTCTGAACATTGCACTTTATTTTCTACTGTATTGTGGAGTGTTTTCTGTTTAGCAGTGTTCATGGCTAAGGTACAGTATTCATGTGTGAAAGCATGAAGGCTTTCTAGTGAGGCATTTTTAAAATGTGGTTTTGTGATTTCTTGTAACTGCAAAGGTCAACATTGTGCTTCTTTCGTCGTCGTCTTCAGCATTCCAAGCGCTGGTGCAGGTATCACTTGCCTCTATCAATCTGTCTTACTGGCCTTCTCTTTCTAGTTGGTAACTCCAAGAGTTTGTAGTTCTGCCTGTATATTATCTCTCCACCATGCCCTTGATGTGCATTTAACTGTTTTTTAATGTACACAGTTTGTCTCTCTCTGTTATCTGGCATTCTTTCAGTATGGTCCCAAAAACTGCAGTCGGTTAGCCACCATGATGCTTGTAGTTGTGATTTAAACAGATGGTGAATTTTGTTGTAGCTTCTCACTCTTTATTCTTTGCTGTTTGCATCATACTTCTATTGTTAAATGTTATTTTGTGTAACTGAATATGTTAACTATGATATGAAATATTATTTCATAGAATTGTAAATGTTGATTTCTGTTACAACTTTTTTACTTACTTGGTCGCTCCTTTTCTACTTTGGGATGTAGAGGTGTGCCAGAGAGATCGCCAGATTCCTCTGACACCAGTTTCAGTTTTCTTTTTGGCGTTGTTCCAATCCAGTCCTCTGTCGGTCAGGGACTGTCGGATGTTGTCTTCTCAGTGAACCCCAGATCATCCTGATGGTCTAGTTACCTGGTTCTTGGCCTCCTGTGCCTGGTGGTGGCAGATTATCTCCCATTCTGCATACTAGTCAAAACCATTGCAGCCATGACTGATCCACTCGAGTTTGTAAGGACAGGGTTTCAAGATCATTATATTTGTCTGGTTGCAAACTTTTCCCTTCTTGTCACCTGGACTACCTTTCTTGGATACCTCATTTCTGAAGCTGGTTTCTGTTATCTGTTGTCATTGCCCAGCTCGCTAGCGTAGTTCGTTAAATCTGACATTGCGGTGAGCAAGTGGCGAACTCCTCGTGGTCCAGGTTCATGCCTTGGGGTAGGCAAAAAAAGCCACATTTCTCCCAGATTTACGGTACCTATCATGGAATCAAGGCCGAAGGGTTGCAATATCAATAGTACCGAGCCAGAGGGTTAACAACTCATGGTTTCTGCATACTTTAAAAAAAAATCTGTTGTCTTTGACCTTGACTCACACCCGTATGTTTATTTTTGTTACAAAATGTTAAGTGTGATTGAGTTTGTTGAATTCTGTTGTATAGTGGTATTTCTTACATTATGAAATTTCATATTCTGTGAAATTGTGTTGGCTTTTAAAAAATGATGTGTCATCCTGTGTAACGAGTCATATTCTTCTCTTGGTGACTAGGAAACTTGCTGGCAAAACCGTGTTCATCACTGGTGCTAGTCGAGGCATTGGCAAAGCCATCGCTTTGAAAGTTGCAAAAGATGGAGCAAATGTTGTTATTGCTGCAAAAACAGCAGAAGCCCATCCAAAGTTGCCAGGAACTATATATACCGCAGCTGAAGAGGGTAAACTTTAAGTATAATTACTAAATAATGTAATTCTTTTTTCAAAGTAATCATCATCATCATGTAGCAGGTCCTTTGCAGAACGTCACTCTCATCACAGTCTGGCCTGTAAGAAACTCGGTCTCTCGCCAGTTCTCCCGCTTCATGAACTTTCACACTCAAGGAGTCACTTATATCATGTGCCCATCTTCGTGTCAGTCAGCCTCTGCCCCTCCTTCCTGGTACCATATACAGTATTACAAAATTATGGGTTTAGGTCTTGATGGTGCTGGTTTTTTTTTCAAAAATGACCTCAGCTCCTAGGTTGATTCAGCCTTAAATGGGTATCAGGTACAGTCATGGCGGCCGGTGGGGTGCTGACCACTTCACCCACCACGTCTATGAAATATAGGTCTAACCCTGTATGCCTAAAATGCCTAAAGGCATGAAAAAGGGTTCTTTACTTTTAAATATCAGTTCTCTTTATGCCTAGTGGCACATGAGGCTTTGGAGAGTACTTTCCATGCTTTCCTGACCTGTGCAATCTTCAGTGCAGTTTTCCATGTCAGAGATGCCGCACTCAGTTCACTTTCCATCGTTTGTCTCCATTTTGTTTTTGGGCGCCCCTTCTTTTTCTCTTTTCCTGTGGTGTCCAAGTAAGAGCTGTTTTGGCAGGTACAGTATATCAGGATTCATTCTCATAACGTGGCCAAGCCATTTCTATCTTCTCTTGGTTATCATACTGTCTAGAGCAGGGCTATTCAACTAGCGGCCCGCTGGCCAAATCTGCCACCTGAAGGCCTAGCACATGGCCCGCTGACCATTGCCAGCTATTAATGATCTTTCTATGCTGGGGGTCTGACACATGGCCCGTGACAATCCACATTTATCTTATTTTTGCCCCTGAGTAAACTTGGTTGAGGCTGATGTAGAGTCTCATGGTTTGTGACTTGAAGTAGTTTAGTGTTTAAGACTTTAATACAGTATTAATGTGCAGATTACGTTAAATTTCTATATAGATAATAATTTAAAATGACAATTAGAAGCGGCTGTAAAGTAACAAATTAGCAATTATATTTATACTGAGAATGAGTTGTCAGTACCAGCGGAAGTTGTGGTAGAGGCATAACGGCAGAGGGAAAGAAGCTGGCTAACTTCTGGCTGTGTCAGACAGGTCCCTGTGAAGGAAAGGGGTCACAGTGGTCCAGGTGCATGCCATCTATACTCCTGCAGACAGGATAGCAATTGGATAGCAAGTGTACCATGTATGTTTACACAGAAGATTAGTAAGCTGAGAAAGATGATGAAGATGAAGAGACTGAAGCAGTTCTAATGATGAGAAGCCTGCTATTGTGTTTTCTCAGTAATGTCATGTAAACTGTGAGAGCTGATCAAATGAACTCATCCTATTGGCTTTTTGACAAACATGATAGGTACATTAGCAAATCTGACAGAATCAAACAAATTCACACAAAGTAAGCATGCATCTGTGGTCGTGAGAATAGAAAAAAGCCAAACATAGCAAGCATGCATAACCTTTGCTCGCTGATTGCCGCTTCTAACAGTTCAGAGTTCATTGACTCTGTAAATAGCTGTGTTTCCCCACGGCCGCATTAAGAAATATAATTTTTATTTTTACTCAGATTTTACACGAATTAAAACCGGAGGACAAGCATTTCCATGTATAGTTAACATAAGATTGGAGAAACAGTATATCTGAAGGCGAGGAAATGAGTTCTTTATTTTTACTTATATTTTGCAGTGAATGAGGACATGCATTTCTGTGTATAATGGAAGACAAGAAGAACAATATGTCTAAAGGCACAGAAATTTGTTCTCTATTTTTACTTAAATTTTACAGAAAATATAGATGGAAGATATGTATTTCTTCATATGGTGAACATCAGATCTGAGAAACATTATGTCTGAAAGTATAAAAATGAGTTTTAATTCTAAATTTTTTTTTTCCAGTGAACAAAGCTGGAGGAAATGCATTTCCATGTATAGTTGACATCAGATCGGAGGAACAGGTGCGGGAAGCAGTTAAACAGACTGTAGCCAAATTTGGAGGCATAGACATCCTTATCAACAACGCCAGTGCCATTTCCCTCACAGGGACTTTGGCAACTCCCATGAAGAAGTACGACTTGATGAACACCATAAATGCCAGAGGAACCTTCTTATGGTTTGTACATGTTAATGTCTTTATTCTTCTTCTTTAGCATTCAGAGCCCTTGAGGTTCATTGCTGCAGATATCACCCGCCTCCATTCATCTCTCTGCTTGGCCTTCTCTTTCCAGTTGGTGACACCAAGTGTTTGCAGGTCTATCTGGATATTATCTTTCCATCGTCTTCTTGGTCTGCCTCGTGGTCTACTACCATTCATCTCCCTGGTGTATACACTTTTTACTTCTCTGTCATCTGTCATTCTTTCAGTATGCCCCAACCATTTCAATCTATTAGCTCTCATGATGCCAGTGATCAGTGGTGATTTAAACAGATTATGAATTTCATTGTTGTTTCTCACTCTCCATTCACCGCTGTTTGCATCTTTGATGGGTCCAAAGATTTGTCATTTTCAAAAACCTGTAATAAGGCTTCATCTCTTTTTAGCTGAGCTCTCAAGTTTCAGAACCATATAACACGACTGGTCTTATCAACGTTTTATGTATTTTGATCTTGGTGTTGCGAGACAGACACTTTGACTTCATCGACATATGTTGAAGGGCATAGTATACTTTTTTCCCAGATTGTATTCTAGATTGTATTTCTTCTCTCAGCATGTTGGAGCAGTTTAAGTTTGCACTTAAGTACTTATATGTTTCCGTTCGTTTTATTTTCATATTATCGACTTGTATGTGGTCGGAGTTCATATCCTTTCCCTGTCTAGTTATAAGCATGTATTGTGTCTTATCTTAATTAATATGTCAGTGTCTTTGGCTTGGAAAAACCCCCCAGTAATTTCTGGTACGACAGTTTGATGAAAATGGATCAGTCACACAACCATACTGAGTGAAGGGGAAAAGCTATATACCAACTGTTGCCAGATTTGCAAATATCTGTTGTGATATTTTATGCTTACCTGCTAGTCCCAGGTCTCAGGTTTGAATCCATACCAGATTCTTCTTCTTCTTCACCGGCTGTTAAAAAACATTCTGCAGGTTATGGCTGTTAGTCCATTTCTGATCTTTGGTCTTATTCCAGAACTTAAGATTTGTATACAGACTGTTGGTTCCTTACCTCTCGGGAAGATGGACTCTGACTTTAAAGGGAACATTCCTAGTTAGACGACTTTTAGGACATGCTTGTTAGGGAGGCAGTGGGTCTGTTCTTTGTCCCCAAAATGGGGCCATGGAACCCATACAGGGATGTACCAGATAAAAATTATTAACCTGGCTCGCAGGTCGACCAAGTATAAAATTGGTACCATGAAATGTCCTGTTATGCAGAGGTGGCCGACAATATTTTTATCATATTACTCATCAAATACCCGTTGATCTTTACAACAATAAATATTATATGCTGATTGGGGGGGGGGGGGCTCCCTGGTGAAGTGTCAAGCCGTTTGCCTTTCGCTCTGAAGGTTGTGGGTTCGTTTCATGGCTGCAATCGGAGCTATGGAGTTTGTGCTCTGTGCGGTGCTCTCGGCAGGCGGCTAGCCGTTCTGCGGAGAGAGACCTAATCATATGGGAATAAAACCGGGTACAATAAAGTTGGTGCTTTTTCCTTTAACATACAAGATTACAAGATAGTTAAGTGGACGTGGTGAAGGCTCTCTGGGATCATATGGTCAGTGCAGTAGAACAGAAATCTAAACATTGAAAGACTAATTCAAGGGGGGGGGGGGGGGGGGTGGTTGAGTCCAGGTTCTGGGGAAAAGTTCAGCACTGAGGGGGCAACACAGGCGGACTTTTAGTCGGGTTGCAGTTGATTCTGTGAGGATGATACCTCTTCGTTGGTTACTGAGGAAGGAGAGGGAACATGTATAGGATCGTCCATAGTGCAGTGATGTCAGCTCTTGATTGATTGATTGATTGATTCATTCATTATTGCCAGATTTTGCTAATGATATCTATTTTGATATTTCATTGTGTCTTTGCTAAAATCTACTTTGAATTTCAACAACTAATAAATCTTTTTTGCTAATGTCTAATCTATGTTTATCCAGCTCACAGGTCTGTCTGCCACATTTGCTCAAGGGCAGCAACCCTCACATTCTCAACATAAGTCCACCATTGAATATGTCTCCCAAGTGGTTCAGTGGTCATGTCGGTAAGTTTGACCAAACGTAGCTGCAGTATTTTATCTGAAGAATTCCCCATGTGGGTTTTGACGCCTATTTTAAAAGGGGAAAAAGGGGGGGGGGGGGGGGGGGGGAGAACAGACCCCTTGTCCACTTAAGAAGAATGTTATAAAAGGGACTAATAATGTGTGATTCATTCAAAGTCGGAGTTCATCTGCTTCAGAGGTGAAGAACTGACAATCTGCAGTCAAATAAACCAGATCTGTAGAACATGTTCAGGCAAAACTCAGACCCAGGAACAAGACCAAAGTCCAGAAATGGATGAACAAGCAGGACTTTCTGCTGGAGTTTACAGCCGATGAATGCAAACAAACAGAAGCAATATCTGAAGAATCACTTGTGAACATGAGTTACCAAATATTAGTTATGTCTTGGCAGTACTCATCTTGCCATCTGCTTGTGAGATGCAATTTTTGGTTATTTGAAGCCCTACTCTGGCTCTTGCCAGGGGCCACAACATAGCCTGACCATAAATATGGTCTAATGACTAAGCGCGGTTTCTGGGACCTCTCCACAGTGATCCTCATCCACATTGTGGCACTTTGTGTCCTCTGGGGTTTATCGCTGGTGTGATGTCCTAGTGGGGTAAAAATCGGTACTTAATTTATAACTTACCCCTGACGTCACGACTACGTCACGGGAGACAATCCCAATAAATTCTAGGGTTTTCAGGTTGTTGTTTCTCGCGATTTATCTACAGCCAAGTTTTGGGTTAGGGTTAGGGTTAGGATTAGAAGACACTAGATGAACACTCAAAAAAAAACCCACCACACAACAGCACACTTGCACCCCTTGAAATAATGGACTGTCAGGTCAGCTGTGGATTTCCCACGGGGATTTCGTGTTTGGGGTACGTTATAAATTAAGAACCTAAAAATCTACTACTTATTTTTTGGAGGTCATCCATCCCTGTTGTGAATGTATAAAATATCGAAAAGGACCCTTTTTGGGCCATTAGCACATTGGGCATATAGTGTTTCAGTCTGCAACAGAACATTATCTAGTACCTATTTTAGGCAGGATCATCCTATGAAACAAATCTGCTTTGATGTGGGTTTGAATCCTAGACCTTCTGGCATTTAGGCGAGCATTTACCTACTATATTACAATGGTTCGCATTGTGAATTTGTGTGTTGAGGATTGCTGATTCTGTGGGAAACAGGAATTTGACAGCTCAATCGTGATAATCACCTGTCTAGTCTTAGCAACGGATTCCGATTTTCTTGGTCAGCACAGCATCCTCTGGTTCATTCTTGTAGCCTGTGCTGTGTAGTGTTAGTAGTCATGTCTATCCACAACTTACTTTCCCCTGTAGTTTCAATCAATTCTGATGATCTTCCATACTTTGTGGCGTAGGTAGTCATGTCTATCCACAGCTTTCTTTCTTGTGTCTTTACAGTTAGTTTTCTCACTGATGTTCTTCCTGTGCCATGATGTCAAACTGGCCCTCATCTTCTCTCTCAGTCTCCCTTTGCCCATTTTCACTTTCAGTTTTCCCACCATCACAATGTACTCCAGCTTTCTTCATAACATGACAGGACTAAAGAATGTAGATTGTCTTGTTTTGATGTGGGCAATCAGTTCTCTTTGTGAGTCAGTTTCTTTCAAGACATCTTCTTTACTCTTTTCATCTGTCCAGGGTGTTCTCATCATTCATCTGTACAACCACATCTCCGCAGCTTCCACATAATTTTTTACTAATCTCCCAAATGTCCATGATTCTCTTCCATATATCAAAATAGGATTTATATACCTTTTAAGAATTCTTTTTCTTACCTCAGTTGCCAAAGAAAGATTGCATAGAATTTGCTGTACGTTTGTTAAGCACCACATTGTTCAGATGTGGCTTACTGCCGTTTTGTTTGTTTGTTGTTGTTGCTGCTGCTTCTCAACCTGAAATGGACGACCTGATTTAAGTCACAAGAAGATATTACCTGGCAGTTGACAGCTAAGCTGAACTCCGTTTTCTAAGAGGGATTCCTGTAGTGGCAGGACTGTTGGCAGAAGCTTGTGCAATACCAAGGAGACTTGAGGGATTAGAATTTTAAACCTCTAAGTATTGTTACTTTGGCACGGGTAACAAGAAAAAAGTATTAGTTAGTTAGTCTTTCCTCTTGAGAGTCTTTCCTTTTGAGCCTAGGATGGAGCATAGGGCAGAGGTCATAGTTCTCCATATCTAGTGGTTCGTTGCCACTTGTTTGAGGTCTTAGATGTTTATTAGACCCATGGTTGAGCCTTCTCTGATGATGGTTCTTTGCATGGTCTCTCTTGGTCATAGTGTCTGTGTGTAGGCTGCCTTACCCTGTTAGAAGCCAACCATAGTGTCTGGATGTGGGTGGTCTTACCCTGTTAGAAGCCAACCATAGTGTCTGGATGTGGGTGGTCTTACCCTGTTAGAAGCCAACCATAGTGTCTGGATGTGGGTGGTCTTACCCTGTTAGAAGCCAACCATAGTGTCTGGATGTGGGCGGTCTTACCCTGTTAGAAGCCAACCATAGTGTCTGGATGTGGGTGGTCTTACCCTGTTAGAAGCCAACCATAGTGTCTGGATGTGGGTGGTCTTACCCTGTTAGAAGCCAACCATAGTGTCTGGATGTGGGCGGTCTGACCCTGTTAGAAGCCAACCATAGTGTCTGGATGTGGGTGGTCTTACCCTGTTAGAAGCCAACCATAGTGTCTGGATGTGGGCGGTCTGACCCTGTTAGAAGCCAACCATAGTGTCTGGATGTGGGTGGTCTTACCCTGTTAGAAGCCAACCATAGTGTCTGGATGTGGGCGGTCTGACCCTGTTAGAAGCCAACCATAGTGTCTGGATGTGGGTGGCCTTACCCTGTTAGAAGCCAACCATAGTGTCTGGATGTGGGTGGTCTTACCCTGTTAGAAGCCAACCATAGTGTCTGGATGTGGGCGGTCTGACCCTGTTAGAAGCCAACCATAGTGTCTGGATGTGGGCGGTCTGACCCTGTTTTTGTGTCCCTTCCAGTGTTTAAAAGAAGGCTTTTGGGGAATTCCCTGATTCTCTGGCTTTTTTCATAGTCTATGGGGCAGAAGAGTTAGGTAACACTTGGAGAAGAGACAGTTGGCGTAACAACTGTTTAAAGAGTATAAGGAGTTAGATGTAATCGTGTCATGTGAGTAGAAACCACTGAACTAATGGTGAATTGCTTGTGATTCAACAGCATACACCATGGCAAAGTATGGTATGTCCATGTGTGTCCTCGGCATGGCTGAAGAATTCCGTCCAGATGGAGTAGCAGTTAATGCTCTATGGCCTAGGACAGGTAGGGACCTTGTGTATATTCTAGCTTCAGTACATTTCCAAGTGTGCGCAATTTATTGTTTGCCATATTTTTTTCAGTGGGAGCGGCTGTGGTCTAGCAGCTAGAAACTCACCTGCGAATCAGTAGGGTGTGGGTTTGGATCCTGACAGGGGCTGGACTTTGAAAAAAAATTACCTTGGCTCCAAGGTCGACACAGCTTTGAGTGGGTACCAGGTACGGTCCTAGGAAGTAAAGGCGGCTAGCATGATGCTGACCACCTCACCCACCAAGTGCCGTTCAATCGATAAAATAAGGGTCTAGCCCTATATACCCAATATACTTGAAGGTGTTGAAAAAGGTTCTTTTATTTTACTTTTTATTTTTCTGTGTTTTGTGAGATGCATACCACTTAATTAAATCAGCATACAGTGGTGAACTGCAAGAGGTAGACAATGATACAAGTGGGAGAGCAGATATGGATGGGAAGGGTTTTAGAGTGTACAATGAGGATAAGAGACAGGGCGTGTTGGAGATCCATTGCAGTCAGCTTTCACTGCGGAGACAGCACTTGATTGATTTTGATAATAATGATGATGCACTGTAGTCAGTCTTTTAGCTGCAATACACAGCTTATATAGTTCATTGTTTTAATACATGTTAGCATCTCTCCAGATCTACTGTGTAAAATTGTTATGATTGTGAGCGTTTTTAACGCCCCCAAAACATCTAGAACTGGCCCTAACCCCAACCCACCTACGTCACATGACAGAGTGCAGCCTAGGTCCCACGACTGTATGCAGCCTATAATATACGCAATGTCCATTATGTACTTGAAGTCAGATAAGGCTATATTTACCAATATTACAAACTGAAACACCGAATCTAACGTGTAAAATTGTTCTGATTGTCAATTCGTGAACCCAGCAGTATACATCTAGAATGATTGGCCTTTTTTAGGGCCACCCCTAAAGTACACCAACTAGTAAGGCATCTTGCTGATTGCACAAAGAGTTTCAAACAAACAAATTGCAAAACAACATCCTCCTCCCAGTAAAACAACATCCTCCTCCCCAGCAAAACTGCATCCTCCTCCCCAGCAAAACTGCATCCTCCTCCCCAGCAAAACCACATCCTCCTCCCAGTAAAACAACATCCTCCTCCCAGTAAAACAACATCCTCCTCCCCAGCAAAACAACATCCTCCTCCCCAGCAAAACAACATCCTCCTCCCAGTAAAACAACATCCTCCTCCCAGTAAAACAACATCCTCCTCCCAGTAAAACAACATCCTCCTCCCAGTAAAACAACATCCTCCTCCCAGTAAAACAACATCCTCCTCCCAGTAAAACAACATCCTCCTCCCAGTAAAACAACATCCTCCTCCCAGTAAAACAACATCCTCCTCCCAGTAAAACAACATCCTCCTCCCAGTAAAACAACATCCTCCTCCCAGTAAAACAACATCCTCCTCCCAGTAAAACAACATCCTCCTCCCAGTAAAACAACATCCTCCTCCCAGTAAAACAACATCCTCCTCCCCAGCAAAACAACATCCTCCTCCCCAGCAAAACAACATCCTCCTCCCTAGTAAAACCACATCCTCCTCCCAGTAAAACCACATCCTCCTCCCAGTAAAACAAAAACATCCTCCTCCCCAGCAAAAAACAACATCCTCCTCCCAGCAAAACAACATCCTCCTCCCCAGTAAAAAACAACATCCTCCTCCCCAGTAAAACAACATCCTCCTCCCAGTAAAACAACATCCTCCTCCCCAGTAAAACAACATCCTCCTCCCAGTAAAACAACATCCTCCTCCCAGTAAAACAACATCCTCCTCCCAGTAAAACAACATCCTCCTCCCAGTAAAACAACATCCTCCTCCCCAGCAAAACAACATCCTCCTCCCCAGCAAAACAACATCCTCCTCCCCAGCACCAAAAACACCATCCTCCTCCCCAGCAAAACACCATCCTCCTTCCCCCCCAGCAAAACAACATCCTCCTCCCCAGCAAAACAACATCCTCCTCCCCAGCAAAACAACATCCTCCTCCCCAGCAAAACAACATCCTCCTCCCCAGCAAAACAACATCCTCCTCCCCAGCAAAACAACATCCTCCTCCCCAGCAAAACAACATCCTCCTCCCCAGCAAAACAACATCCTCCTCCCCAGCAAAACAACATCCTCCTCCCCAGCAAAACAACATCCTCCTCCCCAGCAAAACAACATCCTCCTCCCCAGCAAAACAACATCCTCCTCCCCAGCAAAACTGCATCCTCCTCCCCAGCAAAACTGCATCCTCCTCCCCAGCAAAACTGCATCCTCCTCCCCAGCAAAACTGCATCCTCCTCCCCAGCAAAACAACATCCTCCTCCCCAGCAAAACAACATCCTCCTCCCCAGCAAAACAACATCCTCCTCCCCAGTAAAACACCATCCTCCTCCCCAGCAAAACACCATCCTCCTCCCCAGCAAAACACCATCCTCCTCCCCAGCAAAACAACATCCTCCTCCCCAGCAAAACAACATCCTCCTCCCCAGCAAAACAACATCCTCCTCCCCAGCAAAACCACATCCTCCTCCCCAGCAAATTAAAAACAAAACAAAACAACAACTGCATCCTCAAAAAGAAAAAGAAAAACCTGCATCCTCCTGATTTCACATAGTCCACAACATACACACACACAATGCATAGCACACAAAACAGAAGCACATGAAAGTAAAAACTGCACAGCACAAAACTGCATGGCAAGTGCCAAATTAGTACACTGTACGCTTTATCTACCACCACCTGAATTTATTAGACTGTCCCGTCACCTGTGGATTTCTCCTGTTTGAAGTAGGATATTGGCAAAGAACCCATGCTTGTTGGGAGGAGGAGGGGGGGGGGGAGGGAACCATGGGTCTATCTCCTCCCCCCAAAAATTTGGCCCCAGAACCCACTCACCATGTAACACAACAACTGGAACAAAACAGAAAGAACACACACACAATAAGGGCATTCTATCAAAAACCCATGCATTTTCCACAGCTATTTGGACAGCAGCAATGGAGATGCTTGGTAGTGGAGATGTTAAAGAACAGTGTCGGACGGTGGATATCGTTAGTGATGCTGCTTATGTTATCCTAACTCGCGACAGCAAAGAGTTCTCTGGCAATTTCTGTATAGACGATGAAGTTCTACATTCTGTAGGTGTTACCGATTTGGAGCAGTATGCATGCGTACCAGGTAATTTGTGATAATTAGAAAGTGCAGATTGGCTTCTCTACATTCTAGGCATATTTCTCAGTGTTCCATCTCACTGACTTCTCTACACTTTAGAAATATTCTGCAGTGTTCCATCTCACTGACTTCTCTACACTTTAGGAATATTCTGCAGTGTTCCATCTCACTGACTTCTCTACACTTTAGGAATATTCTTCAGTGCTCCATCTCACTGACTTCTCTACATTCTAGACATATTCTTCAGTGCTCCATCTCACTGACCTCTACATTCTAGGCATATTATTTAGTGCTCAATCTCACTGACCTCTACATTCTAGGCATATTATTTAGTGCTCAATCTCATTGACTCCTCATACTATGCAGATTATTCAGTGCTCCATCTCATTGGGTTCTCAATATTCAGTGCTCCATCTTCTTAGCGTTCACCAGCTGTAAACTCAGGTGGAAATTTCTGGCTGTTCATCCACTTCCAGACTTTGGTCTTGCTCCAGAACCTTTTTTGGGCATGCATATCCTTTTGTACACATAGGACTGTTGGTTTCTTGCCTCTCTGGCTTCGAAGAAAAAACCCCCTAGTATGACAAATGCTTGGGCCTATCCCCCCTCCCCAGTGAGGGCCCTGGAACTTACCAGGGGGAGCCATAAACCACAACACAGCGTGCTAACCTCTCTTTCAAGAGCCAGTGCTGAAGAAGAAGAAGAAGAAGAAGGTTATTCTGCTAAACAGTTTTTTGGTACTGTTCTGTGCCAGCGCCAACTATAAAAAAAAAAACAAATATCCAGAAACCATGAGTTGTAAACCCTTTGATTCCATGATAGATACCATAAATCTGAGAAATATGTGGTTTTTCTGCCTACCCCCGGGCGTGAACCCGGACCACAAGGAGTTTGTCGCCCTGTTGCCGCGCATTCAGGTTTAATCAACTGAGCTAGCTCGCCAGGCGCCCCAATTAATGAATGTCTGCAGTTTTCTTGTGGCTGTTTCAGCCATTTTTTGTGTTTCTAATCCACAAAGCCTTGAATTTCATGAAGAACTCAATATTTCATGTCTTTCCATCTTGCGATTAAAAAGTTAATGATGTTCCGTGTGCCTTGTCAATCTCTAAAACAGTGGTTTTTCACATGGGTGGGGGTGCAAGGAAGTGTTAATGGAAACTCATCAAGCAGTTTTGAAATTGCATTTGTAATTGTAGTAATCAGTTATACTAACATTTTAATTGTAAATAAAATATTTATTAAACTATTTATAAAACCAAAAGCAAAGGGTGTTTTTTTTTATTTATGAGCAGTTTGTACATCTGCTGTTAAAAATATAATTATTAGGTTAACACAGTTCTTGTTAATATTACTTGTGTGTGTGCGTGCTCCTCTTAAAAATCAGGTTTCTTGGGGGGGGGGGGGGGGGGGGGGGGGGAGAGGATGAAAAAATGTTGAAAACCAACAAGAAATTCTATATCAGTATTTTTCCTCTCCATTACACTTCCATTGCTCCCTGTGTGGGTTCCAGTCCCATTGTGGGGCGAAAACAAGAATAGACCCACTGTCTCTCCAACAAGTATGTCGTAAGAGTCAACTAATTGGGGGGGGGGGGTGTCACTTTGTGCATCTGCCTGAGAGGCAAGGAACCAACAGTCTGCGTACAGATAAGTCAGATCTCTGAAACGGATGTGCACGTAACACTCAGGTTCTGGAACAAGTCTAAAGTCCAGAGGTGGATGAACAACCAGAACTTTCCACTGGAGTTTACAGCCAATGAACATGAAGAATGAAGAAGAAAGAGTTTCATTGTCTTTTTAATCTCTTTTTAGACACAAATCACACATGATTTTTTTTATTTCCTTTCTTGGAAATCATTTTACCTGGAACAGCGTTAATGCTCTATTAAGTCAGTACTATAAGTTAAAAATATGTCTATTTTATATATGAGCTTTAAATATTGTTATTTTCAGGCAGCAAGCTTTTGCCAGATTTTTTCTTGGATGTCGGACCAGAAGAATTAGGGCGGCAGTTGAAAGGTGGAAAGTCTGCGCCAGAAAAAGCCGGTAATAATGCATCGGCTTCAAGTGTTGGAGGGACCTTTGCAGCCATTCAAGCTAATTTATCCGAGTCGCTGGTGAAGAACATAGGTGCCAGCTACCAGTTTAATCTGTCAGGTACAGAAACTTTAGTCAACACTTCATTGTTTATTTATAGCCTTCCTGAGTGGGTTCTGGGCCCCATTATTTGGAAAACAAGAATAGACCCACACTGCCTCCCCAACAAGCATGTCATAAGAGTAAACTAATCGGGGGCTTCTTTTGAACTCAGAGTGCATATGCCTGAGGTGCAAGGAACCAACAATCTGCATACAGTTAAGTCAGATTAGTTATATGGATGTGCACGCATCACTAAAGTCCAGAGGTGGACAAACAACCAGAACTTTTTGCTGGAGTATAGAGCCGGTGAACACAGCAAAGAAGAAGATATATAGTCTTTTGTGCCAAGTTTCGGAACAGCTAGCCCGCCTCCATCTTACATCATAAGACAGTCCTAACCTGCAGAAAGAAAAATCTCATACACAGCATATTTATTCCCTCTCTATGCTAACGGCGCCAGACATGGTCACACACACACACAAAAAAAAACCAGAAAAGACAATTAGTAACCACAGAAATATCTAAGAAGGGCTGAAGCAGTGACCAGAAGTGATAAAATCATAAATGAAACCTAAGAGAAACAGTTGGCACAGAACCAATTCTAAATTACATACAAAAAGCAAATCAAGTGGTTTGCCCACTTAGAGAGAATGTCTGGTGACGCCATACCATTCAAGGCATACACGAAAAGTGAATGACATACAGCACAATGTAACAAGAACAAGATGGAAAGATAGCATCAGAAAAACTGTATGCTGCCAGCAGATGCAGTCTAGCCTGTTCCAATCACAGTCAAGACAAAGCTGTGATTCACGAGAAACTATAGACTGCAGGATAGCTTTCAACAGTGCCACTGCCCTCCTGATGTAAGCTTTCTGACAGAAGGATCGAAGAAGATCAAGAGAAACTCTACAAAAGCACCATGTATCTATGGCTGAGGTGACCAGAAGAGCAAGAAGCAGAACCTTGTATCTCCTTCCTCGACACCCAAAGTGGTAAAAGAGGCGGTGAAGAAAAGAAGAAGAAGATGAACTTTTGGGCCAGTAAAGTGGTAAACTTTTGGGCCAGTAAAGTGGTAAACTTTTGGGCCAGTAAAGTGGTAAACTTTTGGGCCAGCAAAGTGGTAAACTTTTGGGCCAGCAAAGTGGTAAACTTTTGGGCCAGTAAAGTGGTAAACTTTTGGGCCAGTAAAGTGGTAAACTTTTGGGCCAGTAAAGTGGTAAACTTTTGGGCCAGCAAAGTGGTAAACTTTTGGGCCAGTAAAGTGGTAAACTTTTGGGCCAGTAAAGTGGTAAACTTTTGGGCCAGTAAAGTGGTAAACTTTTGGGCCAGTAAAGTGGTAAACTTTTGGGCCAGTAAAGTGGTAAACTTTTGGGCCAGTAAAGTGGTAAACTTTTGGGCCAGTAAAGTGGTAAACTTTTGGGCCAGCAAAGTTAATTCTCCTGTTGTACCTGTAAAATCCGTTTGCCTGTTGTATCAGCAAAATCTGTTTTTCAGGAAATGCGGACTGTTGGAGTCACCCCTTCTTCTTCTATGTCTGCCTTTAAGTGGGCAGATTGTGTTGTGATTGATAGATATGCTGTGATATCTGCACCTTTAGGCCTAACAGGTCGAGTTTCAGAACAGCCCTATATAGTCATCTTAAATTACATGCTTTTTAGGGAGGCAGTGGGTCAGTTCTCTCAGGCCCCACCCCCAGAGACAGCCCCAGGACCCACGCAGGGAGAAGTACCTCCTAAAACTATCAAAGTGAATCCTTCTCTTTAGTATAGAACAGTGGTTCTCAACCTTCCTAATGCTGGGACCCTTTAATACAGTTCTTCATGTTGTGGTGAACCCCACCCATACAATTATTTTTGTTGCTACGTGATAACTTCAGTGAATATGTGTATTTTGATGGTCTTTGGCGACCCTTATGACAGGTTTTTTTTACCCACAGCTTGAGAACCGCTGGTATAGAAGAACCTTAATTGTATATGGACATCACCATACATGCTGCACTCCTCCCATAGATTGTGTACGGAGAATCAAAGCACACAGCACCAGCGCTGGCATGGATCCTTATTCTTCCAAATTCCTGTTCTGCCTTTCTCTCAGTGTGGATTCTATGGCTTCATTTTGGAAAACAAAGAATAGACCCATTGTTTCCCTAACAAGCATGTTACAGGAGGCAACTAATTGGGAATGTTTCCGTCAAACATCTGCCTGAAAGACAAGAAATCCAGCAGTGTGCATACAAATAAGCCAGATCTGTAAAATAGATGTGCCTGCAAAACTGAAGTTCTGGATCAAGACAAAAGTCCAGGAATGCACGAACAACCAGAAGTTCTGCCTTTCATTGACAGGTTTTGAAGAGGCATGGGGTACGAGGCTTGGTATGTGCTACATTGATGCTGATGTTTACGGCCTCAGATATTCCATCTATCCATCGCTTGCATGGTCAGTCTCTAGCTCTGCTACCATTATGTCTCAGTGACAGGGCTCTCTGTGCTGCACTATCTGGTGGTAGTCTTAACACATGTCCACACAATTTGATCTCTTGTCTCTCGATGTGGTTTAGTACTGATTCCATCCAAGCTTGTTTCCTGATATCATTTCTAAGCCTGTCTCTTCTGGTTACATTTGGGACTTGTCATAGACATTTCATTTCTACAGTTTCGATTTTTTCCTGTTAAGTTTTTCAGTCCCAAACAATGCACTGTGTTTACTGGATTTTACTCATATGCACTAGTCAGCATGTTTTGTATGGTAACACAATGTTGTTAAAAAACACTATCAAATAGTGCTCTTTTGGTGTCAGTTGTGATATGTTTTTTCTATAAATTTGGTGACATCTGACAAGGATCTAAATGTATGTATACCAAAATCATATACTGTAGGTGCTCAGATTCCACCCTCAACATACACACCAGCGTCCCACAGCTTATTGTATCCAGACCAGTGTTTCTCAACCATTTAAAAAAACCCACCTGCAGCCTCCAAAACAGGGGAAGTTCTTTTGCGGCCCATTTGACAGCAAATCAGACAGAGAGAAAAAATGTATAGCAGTTTATTTGTTAAATCCTTTGTTACAAAAATATTGTTTTCAGCCGCTGTAACTCACCCCCCCCCCCCCACCCCTTTTTTCATATTTGAGATGTTAATCCTACAGACTACAGTTCTAGCTCAAGGCCCACTGCTTGAAGAACACTGATTTAAACTAAACCCTTATAACAATATCTGCTGTGAGATAACCATGTGCTAATATGTGTTTCTTACAGGAGCTGAAGAAGGAACATGGCACCTGAACATGAAGGCAGGGACAGGGTCTGCAGGTCAAGGCAGCATGGACAACCCTGACTGTACCATGAGCTTGGACAGCCAGCTGTTCCTAGACATGTTCTCTGGGAAAGCCAGCGCCACAACGTCATATATGGCTGGAAAACTGAAGATTTCTGGGGACATGGGCGCGGCCATGAAGTTGGAAAAATTAATGAAACAGCTGAAGTCTAAGTTATAATTTTTCATTGTCTATCATCATCATCAACTTCCATATTTGTTGTTAAACAACCTAGGGAGAAAGGATTTGCAACATTCTATGTGGATAACAGTGTCTTTAATTTCATCAGTCATCTTCTCCTTAAACTTAACCCTTCCATCCCATAAATTCTTTAAAAAAAAGGTGGGCGGAGAAATGGGGAGTGGGCACATGAACCCATGAAATTCCCTTTAAAAAATATTTTACATAGGTAATAAATAAATTGTTTACATATTTATCCACATTTTTGTTTCGAAATATATAAAGAAATTAAAAAGGAATAACAAATAAACAAGAGCAGAGTGAACCATTAAATAGAATGCATTCCCTGAAGCCTAAAACAAATATGTATCAGGTGACTCGTGCCATGACACCTTGACCTCTATCACTGAGGCTTACAGGAACATTTTAAGTCAACCTAGCATATTTGTTTTAAACCCATTGGAGTCATAAGGAAACACCTCTAAATGCTATATTTAGTTCATATATGCATATCCTGGCCTCCTGAACAGTAGGCAGGTGCACATAGAACCAGCGGCATTCAGATGTGCTTTTAAAGAACCGGTCATTACAGAATATCATCATTTACTTGGCTGTGTCGCAACTGGAAGTGACTAGATGCAACATTCTCAGAGCAATAGGGTTAAAGCAAATTTTTTTTATATATAATAATGCTTGCTTGATTTCAACAAATGTTTTACTATTTTGTTTGTTGCTTTGATGTAATGATAATTGTTGTCACAGAACTTTGATTGATTCCTCAACAGCACACACGTCTTATTTTCAGCCCTCATTATTATGAATGAATTAAGGTTTTAGTGATTAAGAAAGTGTTTGTCTTTACGATAAATGTTCATTGCTGAGTTGGCCATGTTATACATCTTTTAAATCTTTTAGTACCAGAAGGTTTTGTAGGAGATGCCAGTTAAGAAATATCTGTGATGCACAATTAGTGCATTAATTTCAAAACTGTTGTAAATATAACATTAGTAGTGACCACTCGATGAGCTAGATTTCTTGATCGTGTTCTGACCAAATACAAAAAATAAGAGAACATACTAGGGAAGGGATTCAACAGATAGTGATTCACACATCATGCGTTGTTTGGGACTCATAGAGTTAAAAAAGATCAAATGTTTTTTCCCTTCCAGTGCCTTTTCATAATTTATGAGTCAAGATTGAATGCCGCGTTGTCGTTTTTGATGACATATGACAGATGGTGTTTATTATATGTACAGTTGTATACAAATAAAATGAATAAAGCTTTGTTCAGTTTGTAAAGAGTCATCTTCCATGCAGTCAGATAACTTCATGAGCGCACCAGTAAGTAAATGCACTCAGATAACATCTTATGCAGTCAGTAAGTAAACAGTAAAGAATCCTTCTCACTTTCGCCATATGATGTTAGACTGAGGTTTGTATAGACGTCTGGTTATATGGTCAGCATCGCGGTGAGCGCTTTTACTTCCCAGGACATCTGGTACCAGTTTTAAGCTGGGTCGACATAGGATCCAAGGTCAGTTTGAAAAAACTCGCCTCGATTTGGATTTGAATCCTAGACCTACGCGCCGGCAGTCAAGCATCTAGCCTCTACGCCCCTGTATGGGCATATCTTCATTTATATATTTTTGTAATTTCGCTGTGGCGACATGGGAGACAAGGTAATTTTGAAAAAAAAAAAAGAATCAGTCTCAAGGCGAATTTGATTCTAAGGCCTTAACCAGTCTTCTATAGTTCAAACCTAAATCTTAACACTGTATGCTTCAAAGTACTAGCAAGGATCAAATCCAAATGCAGAACTACAAATACTGTACTCAACCCCACCCCCCAAATATGATCTAACCTGAAAATAAGATCTAGCATAATTCTACAGGATGCTCACAATATAAGCCTACCCCAAATGTTAGCCCTAGTTAAGATCTTCAGCCACACAAATGGATTTCATTTGTCCGTTGAAACACTTGGCGGGCATATTGAATTATAGATTCATTTATACAAAAATACAAATAAACAATAAAATTGACATTACTGCTTGGATACACTCTACGCCTTCACAGCACGACAATATCTAATGGCAGCCAATGTGCTTTGGATCGCAAATTACTCCTCCCCATGACGCTTAACGACAGAAGTGGTTTATGATGATGATGATGATGATTGCTTGGATAAATGTGTACTTGAATAAATATAGATTTGTGTACATAAAAAATAAGACATTCTATGAAATTAGGCCCTAGGTGTCCTTTGAAGCAAAAATTAATATAAGACCTGGGTCTTATGTTTTGGTAAACACTGTAGCAGCCAGAATGTATTAGGGTGATACAAGACGAGCTTAATGACTACTTAAGCAGCAAAGTGGCACCATAAACCCCTCTCCCCTTCCCCCAGGACACACACACACACGCAGGCAATACCATACACAGAGTCTTGAGGTCATCTGAAGTTACTCTCTCATTTAAAACCAGTCCTCTCTCATGGCTTTGGATACAAATATGTAAGTACATGTTAACTGGTATAAATTTGTAATGGTAAATGTAATGGATTCTGTTCTGGTGAAGTCAGAAATATGCATCTACAACTTTTCAACACGGCACAATTTTTAACTATTACATTAGCAAACAAAAAATTCCTTAACGCATGCGGCTCTTATTGGTCATAGTCGCCACCACTATGGCTGTGATTCCCATATCTACTCACAGCATAATACAACACTATCGTCTCGTAAGAAGAAAAGATACCAACAACAATAAAAAAAAAAAACAGGTTCACTGTTTAATCCGAGATCTGAAATTTATTCCATGCATTCATTTAACCACTGATTCATTTGACCGCTGAAAAGATCTATGGAGAGAGAGAGACAGAGGAAGACAGCAGGAGAACAGTCTAGACAGTCTTTTGTCTTGGCATGGGGAGGTGTCAACACACAAATTAATACACGCAGTTGCAGATCACAGATTGTGGAGAGGCATGATCGCCCACACCAGTCGGCAAGGCACTTGATGATGATTTACTTAACAGGCACAATGAAAGACCAAATCGATTTTTACAGACAAAAAGTACAAGCAAACCATAAAAAAATGTAGAATCCAACTGCTTTCTCCAAGCCAAATGTATAACAATGTATTATTGTAGAGAATTTTTGTTTTCAACAGTTTTACACAAATTTAGCTAAACAATGGAATGCAGAACTTGCTTTTCTCAGCCTTCTTCTTCGTGTTCATGTTAACCGGCTGTAAACTTCGGTGGAAAGTTCTGGTTGTTCGTCTTCTTCTGGACTTTAGTCTTGTTGCAGAACTTGAGTTTTCAATGCACATCCGCTTTACAGATCTGAACTTATCTGTATGCAGGCTGTTGGTTTCTGAACTCTCAGACAGACTGCACTCTGACTTTGAAGGAAATATCCTTAATTAGTCAGCTAATTGTTAGTGGGGCATTGGGTCTATTCTTGTTCCCCCAACAATGGGGCCCCGGAACCCACCTGGGGAGTTTTTCTAAGTAATAAGTAAAGGACCCTTCTCTGGGACATTAAGTATATGGTGCTAGATCATACATATGGAGGTCAACACTAGATGGGTGATGTTATGTCAACATCATCACAGGTTTTTCACACTGTCAAGACATAAGTGGAATTCTGGAATGACCTCCGAAATATTCTACTAAAAACAACAAATAAAACGTATAGCTACTGAAAGGATCATAATTCTGACATACAAAACCTTTGTAATTTAATTAGTGAAACTGTTCAAATTGCACAAAAGAATACCTTTTGGTTCAATCAGTTGACAGTTGTTTTGCAGCTGGGTCATAGATAGTTTTTAGGCGTAGGGCTTTCCCGCAAACTATTTAAAAATGTGGCATAGGATAACTATTCTGTTAAATTTTTTTTTAAACAGTGTGCACCTCATGTACGTAAGTGTGTTACTTCTGTTAGGCTGCTCAGCAATCTTCTATCATGTAATCGTAGTTTAAACTTTATATCAAACATGTCACCTCATTGCTGCTCTATTCCTGTGCCAATGAAAACCGCACAGAATGTCCATCACTGTCCATTGTGAAAACTCTGACACAGACTGAAATCTTAGAAAAAACATGCACACATTAAATGCACAAGGCAGCTGTCAGAAGTGCCAATACAAATAGTCTGACACTAGATTAGCAGTTCATCATCGATGGAAGCAGTAGTTACAACAGATCAGTAGTTGCACATGCTATTATTCGCATAAGGCACCATAGGCCACTCACCGTTTTCTGAATCGGGAGTTTAGAACATAAACCACGCTGGGCACAACAGGTGAAAAGCATTCTAAACGAAATCTGCAGCTCATAGTGTTGCGCCATGCACTCAACTCAGTAGTTCCAAAATAAGATATGAATAAACTACCAAACTTTTGTGCATATATTTTTCTTGCGTAAAGAAACAACCACGAAACACAACAGAAACATGTAGAGAATCAAAATTACAACAGCAACAGCGTCACTGGCATAAATTGTTGAAATGCTCATATTCACAGCTCCTGTAAACAAATTAGCAAGTAGGAAAAACAGTAATGAATTGAAGCTAATTGCTTCTAACAAACATACGTTTGTATCTGATAGATGCTCCTTATTTATTTTTGATTCTTTCTCATTATCTGCTGTTTGAATGTCTTTTCTTGAAGCTGACACTGTTGTCTTACTTGTGGTCCTTCTTGACGCTCCGTGGATGCCTTCAGAGGGTGGTTGGTCAATGCTTTGGACAGCTTTATTTAGACTGTTTTGTGGAATGCAGTAGGTAGCCTGATCTTGACTGTTCTGTAGTTTTGATTTGATGAAGGCAATTGTTATTTCTGCTAGAAGACATTCTACAATCATCAGGGTGCTTACACTCATCTGAAAGGAGAAAGATTTTTATACAAACATTAGTAACAGACCAATGCATTATTTGACTGGTGCCTGCGCAGAATAGAGAGAATATGACAGAATCACTATAAACAGTTTTGAAAACCTGAGAACAGTATTACTAGAAGGGTTTGCATTGGAACCTACAGAGGTAAAGAAATAAGGACAGATAGTGAATAAAAAAGATTGGGGAGAGGGGGGGGGGGAGTATGGGATGAGCTGCATGCGACAGCAAATGATAGGACAATTTGGCATAAGCTCGTTGAAGGCTTATGCTCTATTGGGTGATAAAAGTCTAGAAAAGAAAAAAATGTATTTTATCTGAGAGGGAAACTGAGCACTTATGTGTCCAGAGTGCAGTAAGGTTTATCGTTACCTTTCCGCCTGTCCACTTATGCTTTAGGTAGAGCACAGCAATCAAATCTTATAGTGGTGGCAAGTGTGACCATCAAAACTAGCTTGTGTCTTTCACCATAAGTTCAGAGGTCACGGGTAGTTCACGTTTTTTAAAGACATTTTTACAAGACATGCAGGGGTGTTGGGAAAATTAACAGGCACACAGACTGGCTGGTTCGTCACATATGGGTGCATGACAAGCTACACGTGGTCAAGTTCCTCTGGGAGCAAGTAAACTTTGTAAAAGTAAAAAGTAAAGGGCCCTTTTCCACACCTTTAGGCGTATACGACATATAGGGCTAGACCTATATTTTTATAGACCTATCAGCACAAGATGGGTGATGTGGTCAGCATCACGCCGGGAGCCTTCACCTCCCGGGACTGCACCCGGTACCCACTCTAGGCTGGGTCGACCTGTGAGCTAAGGTCATTTTTGAAAAAAGACTTGTCTCCACTAGGGAGCGAACCCATGATCTTCCGATCCGCGGCAAGCGTCTAGCTGCAAGTAAACTTTGTAGAAGCATGAATACAGAATGGTGACAAGGGATGTGGTCGACACTCCACAGTCAGAGAAAAAGGCAAGACAGTCACAGACTGCTACTGGCACCATACAAGTTGGAACTTTTCACTGGCTGCTGAATATCAGAAGTGAGCGCTTATGGGAATGTCGGTTCTTGATACACAACACAACTCGTTCACATCATGCTTGCAAATCTCTTTCAAACATAGAAGAGGTTGACCTCAACATCTATCATCGTGACGATAACCCTAACAGTGACCTTTAACAGGCAACAGTAATAGCAAAAGCCATGGAAGTGCTGTAACTAGCCCATTTGCCTCCTTACCCAGTGGCCTTGTGTTCAGTCCTAGCTGTCTTGGGTTATGGAACCTCTTAGCTCCCTCTCCAAGCAGACTTTGTACAAAAGTTTTACGGGTAACTTTCATTTGGGACATGGAAACACTGAGTTAATGGCAAGGAGTTTGAAACTATATAAGGATAGAGAAAATTAATTTTTTTTTTGGAAATATGAGGATAGAGAAAACTAATTTTGTTTGGAAATATAAGCATAGAGAACACTAATTATTTTGAAAATATAAGGAGTAACTGATGAAGCTGTCAGTCGCTGGGCACAGATAATTTTTTCAAAGCTTTTTCCTTTGAAGTTGGAGTGCATCTGCCTGAGAGGCGAGGAACCAACAGTCTGCATACAAATAAGCCACATCTATAAAATGGATGTGTATGCAAAACTCTGGAACAAGACTAATGTCCACGAGTGGACAAACCAGACTTTTCTGCTGGAGTTCACAGCCAATAAATGTTGAGAAGAGAGAGATACAAAGCTTTGCTATACAGGTCTGAACCTAAATCATCACATTTGAGGTCAGTACTATCTTGTATTTGTCGGCATCTGTGGCTCAAGCTCTTTGTAATGCCTGGGTGCCGGGTATCAAGAAGCCAACTGTCCAGAAAGCAACGGCAAACTACTGGATGTAAATTTTCCTAGAAAAACCACAACAGCCAAAAAATTCTGGGGCTGGTTCTGCAACGTCCTGTAATGGATTTGCAACAAACTTTTAACTATTATTATCTGACCACCATTTCATCTCAGACTAAATTTAAACTTAGAGTTACCTAATATCTTCTTCTTCTTCTTCACCTTCACCAGCTGTACACTGGCGGAAAGTTCTGGTTGCTCGTCCACTAGTGAACTGCAGTCCTGCTCCAGAACCTGAGTGTTGCGTGTGCATCAGTTTTACAGATCTCATTCTCTTGAAAACAGACTGTTGGTTCCTTGCCTCTCCGGCAGATGCACTTCGACTTCAAAGGAAGCTCCCCAATTAGTCTACTCTTACGACATGCTTTTGGGGAGGCAGTGAGTCTATTCTTGTTTTCCCCATAATGGGGCCCCGAAACCCACACGGCGGCGTTACCTAATATAAACTAGACTATTTCACAGATGTAAACTGGACAGAACTTACAATCCAAAAGACAAATGCTGCGTTTACAAATCTCCTGGAGACTGGTTCTACTGCATGGTGGAAGACTGTCATGATGACTGTCACTGCTATGTACGTTACTGTCAACTGTCTCGACAGCACCAGCCACTCTTTTAAATTGTGTCTACAAAGAATTTAAAGAAATAAAATATGTTGGCAAGTCAACCATTCACCCTTAAAAATGTAGTTTTGTGGTTTACAGTTGGGCTGCGATAGTGGCACCTTTCTGGCCAAAACATCTGACTTCAGCAAACCTGTATTTAATCACCTTTTGTGATAGGCTATCATGTCTGGCCACAGCCTTCTGTCTCACACATTACCAGTCTTCTTCTTCTTCGCATTTACCAGCTGTAAACTGAGGCGGAAAGTTCTGGTTGTTCATCCACTTTTGAAATGTGATCTTGTTCCAGAACTAGAGTTCTGTATGCACATCTGTTTTACATATCTGGCTTATTTGTGTGCAGACTGTTGCATCCTCACCTCTCAGGCAGATGTACTCCAACTTCAAAGGAAACACCCCTAAGTAGTCACTTGTTTGGGGGGAAGTGGGTCTATTCCCCAATCCCTCCCACCACCCCCACCCTACATGAGACTCCAAAAACAGGAAATACCGTCAGTCACTTCTTATAAACATTTTCATCCATGCCATAATACCAAAATTTCAACGACCCTTCTTTTGGTCTTCCCTGTTTTTTCCTTTCTGCCTTTCTAGAACAGACAAGAGAAATAAGAGTGGGAGCCTTCCTTTTCTTTTAGTCCATGCCGTGTGGCATTGATAGTCATGTCTATCCACTACCTTTTGTCTTGTGTACTTTCGATCAACTCTGACACAGATGATCTTCCATAGTCCATGCGGTGTGGCACTGATAGTCATGTCAATCCACTACCTTTTGTCTTGTGTACTTTCGTCGATCAACTCTGACACAGATGATCTTCCATAGTCCATGCGGTGTGGCACTGTTAGTCATGTCTATCCACTACCTTTTGTCTTGTGTACTTTCAATCAACTCTGACACAGATGATCTTCCATAGTCCGCCGTGTGGCACTGTTAGTCATGTCTATCCACTACCTTTTGTCTTGTGTACTTTCTATCAACTCTGACAAAGATGATCCTCCATGCCATGATGTCAAACTGTTCAGCATCTTCTCTCTGCGAACCTATTTATAATGACACAACATGAAGATGATGATAGTGCTTTTCCCAAACCATGTTCTCATTACATGCCTAAAGTATGTTGACTGTCCCCTAATGATACAGATAATCAGTTCACTTGATGAATTTTCTGTCAGGATATCAGGATATCTTCATAAACATTTTTATCTGTTAATGGTATTATTATTTCTCGTACTCCAACATATTTATATGTCCATGGTGTTATTCTCCTGTCAAACCACACTTTGCAGCTTTCACAGTTTCTCACTAATCAACATTATCAACTGCCTTGCTCACTGGCATAGAAGATTAGGCCTCTCCACAATCTGCCATCTTTAAAGGCATCAATCAATTTGTGTGCTGATACCCCTCCATGACATGACAGAAAGCTGCCAAGAATCTTCTTGTGTTGTCTTCCTGTCTCTTTTTCCACAGATCTTTCCAGTGGTCACAACAAGTTCCAGGTTCCTCCTTCTCATAATATGACCACAAAATTATCTTCTTCTTCTTTCATTCACTTGAAATAAATTATCTATATCTGCAATGTTGTCTCTAGTATGAACTTCACTGTCTTTTGTAATTCACTCAGTTATGACTGTCTCTTTCTGTTTGTGATAAGCTGTCTTCGAGCCCTCACCTCTTTCAAAACAACTTGGTTGCTCTTTTAGGCTGTCCAAAGAATTCTTCTGTAAAATAATATTTCCGAGCCCTAAAAAAACTGTTTGGCTTATTTATTAATTGTCCAGGATTCAAAGCAATATGTTTAAACTGGCTCTATAAAGCATGCACAAATTATTTTTCTAACCTCCAGAGACATGGATTTACTGCACTAAATGTTCATTTGATAAAATCTGCTAACATACCTAGGTTTAAACAATGAACGCCCAAGCTGAACACCAAACATGTAGATGGCGACATATCCGGGCAGAGAACAAATTCCTTCCCTGTTGGCATCGATGAACCCACTTCTACCTCCTATGCCATTCAGGCCTATCATGATGTAAGAGGACAGGCCAGCTGACAGGAGAATCTGGTGCCCAATTACTGTAACAGCTGCTCCAGCGGCCGAATACTCCACAGGAAGTATGCAGTAGACCAGAGTTAGCGATATCTGTGGAGTATAAGACAGGTATTAAAAGTCTATGGTTAAGTATCTGCAAGGAAATAAAAGTAAACAAAGTTTTGAGAATATGCATCTTCCCTGTAGCAACATATGGACATGAGTCGTGGACTATCTCACAATCCTTAAGGAAGAAAATATGGGCTTTAGAGCTGAAATCCCATAGAAAGATTTTCAGACATGAACACCACAAACACAGTACTGCAGTACTGGTAAATGATTTCAAAGAACATAGAAGAATCAAATGGTCTGACATCTGGTCAGAATAGAATACAAATCAGCCAGCAGCTAGAGTGTACCATATGAGAACAGGAGGCTACAAAGCAAGAGGCAGACCAAGAATTAGATGAGTGGAGGGAGTAAAAAAAGACACTACAGAAACGCAGTATGACATTTTATTCGAGCTACACAACGAGCAAAAGACAGGAAACTATATCTCAACTCCTTTATGTGAAACTTTATGACATAAGCAGTAGGACAAAAGAAGCCACTCGTTGGAAGATGTGGACAATAAACCAGCCACCATTACTTTCCAGACGATTCCTGGTAACCATGTTTAGTCTGGGTTAACTTGGGAGCTCAACTCAATTTTAAAATCTGCCTTGATGGGTATTCTTCTTCAGTAATCTCTGGTCATGCGCTTAATCCACTGTGGGGCACAAACTGGGATGCCAATTTGAGATCTCTCAGGTTTCCCCTTTTCCCTCCAGGAGAAGATAGTCTTGCAAGATGTGTTCTGAAGTCTGTTCAGCATGAAGACACTGGCAGAGGGTTGTCTGGCTCAAACCTAATTTATATGAGTGTTTGTTGAGTCTGCATGTATGCAGGCATGGGAGGCTAAGAACCAGGGAACCAGACCTCCAGGACGACCCAGGGTGCGTTGGGAAGACAACATCCGACAGTCCCTAACTGACAGAGGACTGGAATGGAACAAAGCCAGAAAGAAAACTGCTGATAGAGACGTCTGGCGATCTCTCTGGCAAACCTCTACACCCCAAGGTAGAAGAGGAGCGACTAAGTAAGTAAGTTTGTTGAGTCTGCAATGTCCTGTGCATAAGCGAAAATGGTAACCTGGTCGGTTCTGTTTAGATGTCCAAGGAAATCTTTTTAATTTTATTTCCAGTGCTTATTTTCTGGAATCCACTGGCAAGACACTCATGTGGCTGCTTCGGGATACATCAGTTCAATTGATTTTTGGGTTCTTAATTAATATCTTTCTCCAGATGACGTCATAGGACAGTCTAACGTTTTAGAGGGTGGTAAGACTGGGTTTCCCGGCTTTCTGATGCTTTTAATGACCCCAAATATTTAAAACTGGCCCTAAACACAACCCACCTACATCCCACAAGAGAATGCAGCCTAGGTCCCACGACTGCATGCTGCTAATGTCCCACTACTGCATGCACCCTATCTACCACCCCCTGAAATATTTGTCCCGTTACCTGTGGATTTCCTCTGCTTGGGTTAGGATATAAACAAAGCACCGATTTTTGTGTATTTGTTTGGTTTTGTTTCATTTATGTATGTGTTGATAAAGGCTTTCTATCCAAAACATTCACTTTTTATTTAGGCTTGTTCTATTGTGAAGATCTACATTTCGTTCGGTTTTATATCTTTCCATATTTTTCAGGATGGGTATTCAACCCTGTGACCATTGGGTCACATAAGTGTGCTAGGCATCCCAGGGAGGCACTAGGTCCACATTTTTAGGCCAAATGACACTCAGTGGGTGTGTGATAAACATCATGCCTACAGCTTTTAACCTCCGAGTTATGTTTAAAACAAATATTTAAAAAACCTGCGTAAAGCGAGGTTTGAACTGAGGGTCTCTCAGCTAATAGGCAGGGTTGCTAGCCATAAATCCAAGCTACTTTACCAAAATTAAACAAAAAATTCAAAATACACACTAAAACAAAGCAAAAATAATATGTTTAAATAGTACTAAACATTTATAAAGAAACTGTATTAAAATAAATGTTATTGTTCACATTCATACTTTCATTAAAATATTTACTTTTCACAATGTGCAATAAATACTTACTTTTAGGGCAGCTAACGTGAAGAAGAAATTCCAGTGCACACCATACTCTGTGACGTGCTCATGATAGCCTGCGCCCTTCACCGCTAGGAGTCTCGCACATCCCAGAATAAGCAAAGGGAGGGAAGAAATCAATGCTTTCCTGCACTGAGACCAAACTGGCAATCTGCTGCCCTTTCCTCGAGCCTCACAGCTTACAACAGCATTTGCTACGACAAACAAACCCACACCCACATCCATCCCACCAAACCCATAGGTCTCCGCTTTTGCTAATCGTCTAGGAAATACCCGAAAGTCTACAGCAAGGATGCTAATAGCTGTGCACAAGTTAATAATCGAGCGGAAGTTTGTAATAAATTGTTTTCTTTCACTCAGATTAACGTATTTTCTTGCTGCCGGTAAATTATCATCCTGGCCAGTTCTGAAAACTTGGGAGCAAAATATAAAGGTAAGGAAAAGAAGGGTCAATATAAATAATCCAATGTGGTTGCTTAATATTGTCACACCAATAATATTTGGCAGCACAAGAAGAATGAGATCTGGAAACAATCCTGGTCTGAAAATAAAAATTTAAAAAATATAATGAGTTAATTTATTATGATGGTCATAAAACATTTAAAGGGTATTATTATGCTGTCGCAATCACAGCAATTAACATAAGGCATTAACATTTGTGTTCAGTCCTCCAATGCAACAGCCACTTCAAGGTACTTCTACTGATCGTTCCTATGAGAAGTTGGTTATCATGTCTCCTGTCTTCGCCTCCAAGATGGCACCAGTGTGCTTCATCAGGCTTCAGTCTGAGATCAGGCAGTTCTGTTAGCATCAGAGATGTGTTACTGTCATAATCTGTTTTTAAAGTTGGGGGTTAACACACAGCAGTACCGTGAAGTGGCTACAGAACCTGCAAACAAAAAAATGATACACAATATGCAAATGAGCCCAGACAATGGATTAAAGAAAGGAGAAGGAAGATGGACATAACTTGTTTTGGCCCAGTCAGATAAATTACAGCAGATTTAATTCAGCTGTTAGATAGCTGATATATGCCTAATACACAGGGCCTTTTCTTCTGGTGGTATGCAACAGTATGCCACCACACGGGGTGATGAGTACCGGCACCTTATGGTGAGTACTGGCACAATTTTTTCCTAGTAGAAAAGCCCGGCTTATATGGTATGGCATCACAAGGCTTTCTCTTTAAGTGGGCAAACCATTTTATTTGTTCTTTCAATGTAACCGATTCTGTGCCCACTTTTTCACTTATGACTTCATTCCTGGGCTCTCCTTTCAACTCAGGCCGTTAGTTGGAAAGCCGCCCATCGCTTTGTGGGAGTTCTCTCCCTTGGCTGCATTGCAAACACGGAGCGGAAAAGTCAAGAATCAAATGACATACTTACCTATCATCATACGGTTGCGTAGTCATCATACGGTTGCGTAGGGTGTAGGGTGTGGGTTTTGGTTAGGGATAGGGTTAGCGACGTTAGGGGTTGGGTTAGGGTTAGGGTTTGGGTTAGGGTTAGGGTTAGGGATAGGGTTAGGGTTAGGGTTAGATGTGACAAATTTGACGTAGGAGTTCCATATACTGGCCGACAATCTGATGCTTGTGGGAGTGGCGCGACTGGAATTCTCCCAAATATGACGGCAATAGCACGCGGCTGGTGCCCAATCGGTGGCGAATTGTCCGTTTGAGTAGCATCCACAGTCTGTCGATTGTTTGGGTGTCTATGTGACTGTGTGCGATTATTCAGAGCTCCTGCATCAAAACTGTCACATCTAACCCTAACCCTAACCATGCAAATCTATCGGCCAGTGAGTCAGACAGATCTGCAGGAGTCACATCCGTGGCAACTAATACCACGTTTATATAAGGATATATTTACTTTAAAAACACCCCAGATTTCCCCGAAGCGTCAAATAAACACCCAGATCTGGGGTAAACACCCAAGCATTGGCATCCCTGTTGTCGACCTCACTGTCTTTTTTTATTTGTGACTTTTCCGCTCCGTGTTTGCAATGCAGCCAAGGGAGAGAACTCCCACTAAGCGATCGGCAGCTTTCCAGCTAACGGCCTGAGTTGAAAGGAGAGCCCATTCCTGTTTTAATTTGTTCTGGTCATTCCCACAGCCTTTCTCAGATATCTCATTTCCATGATTACTAATTTTTTTTTTTTTTCTGGTTTGCTGTGAGTGACCATGTCTGGCACTGGTAGCATAGGGTGGGACTGAATATGCTTTGTGTTGTGTAGGATTGTATTGTGCTGTTAAAGGAAAGGATGCTTTATCAGCTATCAAGGCCTGAGCAAAGAGTAAATACTGTAACAGTAGTACTAGCGACTACGTTGTTCGGCAATTTGCGGTCTTTTGGCAATTTCCGTTACCATGGAAACCATTCCAAACTTGTTTCGGAAATTTCGGCTGGGGTTTCGGGATGGGTCCCAATCTCTCAGGTAATTTTGCGATTGGTGTGATTTTCACCTACTATAAATGGCTGAAAACGGCGGGAATGAACCCGATTAACAGCGCATGTCTACGACAGCCGGATGCCCTCTGTTTTTCTGTTACATCAGTTTGATTAAAAATAGCGTTAAGTATTCGAGGTTGGCTTTAGGCTTTAACATTACTCGTACTGGTAATGCTAGTTATAATTGAATTCTCCGCCCAATTTTACATTTGTATATAAAATTTCTTTCTTATCAGTGGCTTTTTAGATTTACAGTGACATTTTTTAGGCAATCGTTAATTATCATTAATTATCATGGAGGAAAATAGCGGTAAATTCGAGGTTGGCTTTAGGCTTTAGCATTACTCGTACTGGTAATGCTAGTTATAATTGAATTCTCGGTCCAATTTTACATTTGTAAATAAAATTTCTTTCTTATGAGTGGCTTTTTAAATTTACAGTGACATTTTTTAGGCAATCAGTATATGGCTGTGTCTCCATTGTCTGCCATCTTGTCCAATGACAGTCCAATGTCAACAAAGCCAAAACAGAAGTGCACAGTTTGGTTGCGCAGAGAAACTTCTTGTTTCTGGGTCGCAAGTTTTCGACAGCTGTTTTTTACATCTCATCTCCACAAAAACCTACATATCTCAGCTCAGAAATGACATACAAGCCTAAATGAGGTACCATTGGAAAGAGATTGTTTACAGCTATCTAACTGTGCTGGTTTTATTGGTGTAGAGGGCATTTTGAAGTGTCGGCTCTCTGGCTAAGTCGATGCGAACGCTTCGTAATGCCGGGTTCGATCCCAGCTGCGAGCCATGCCATTGCGTTGGTTTCGACAGTGATATCAAGAAAGCCGACCTTCCAAAAAGGAATGACAAACTACTGGACATAAATTTGCCTAGAAAAACCACACAACAGACAGGGGCTGTTGGGGTTGGTTCTGCAACGTCCTGGATACGCAACTAACCTGTAAGTAAGTACCAGCACCTTTTTAAATTAATATTATTAAATTCATTCTTTAGAAAAGATCTGACTGTACCTGATAATATTTTTGTACTTAGACAAAATAAATAAATCCCTCAAGAAGCAACCGATACACGCAATGCTTGATACCATTGCCACTTCAAGGTAGCTGGTACCACTATGTCCTGATACAAACATTTCATGTTGTAATTTATATGTAGTCATTTTTTTTTCTCCCGTTCAGTTAGTCGGCTGTCTTCTGCTGCTCAATCACTAAGAGTTATATCCCCTGCATGTTGATGCCAGTATGACTTTTTTTTAAAATTCGCTTTCACAGGTTGTAAACTGCGGCAGAAATTTCTGGATGTTCGTCCACCTCCGGACTTAAGTCTTGTTCCAAAACCTGAGTGTTGCGTGTACATCAATTTAACACATCGAGCATATTTAAATGTAGGCTCTCGGTTCTTTGCCTTTCAGGCAGATGCACCCCGACTTCAAAGGATGCCCCCAATTAGTCTACTTCTACGACATGCTTGTAGGGGAGACAATAGGTCTTTTCTTGCAAAGGAGTAATGTGGTAACAGACCCAGATGTCGGCCACGCAGAAATATCAGAGACATTGAAAAGTATTATATACGAAGCAATTAGAAGGGCCCGTTCTATAGATCTCTTCATTTCCTCACGCCACCACACTCAATAGGCGATGTAGAGAAAAGAATCCTGTTGCTGTTAATTCAGAGGTCAACTCTCTCATCAGTGAAAATTCAGACGAAGCAGATGCACTAATCTACACAGACGGATCCGTTATACGCCAAAAAAAAAAAAGAAGCGCATGGGCATTCACAGCACTCTTAACGGGCAGAACAGTCAAAGAAGCCAACGGCGCCTTCTCCATGACGGTGGAGGGGATGGCAGTGACGCAAGCGTTCACCTGGTTCGAAACACAAAACTACACCCGCGTGTGCATACTCAGTGATTCAATGAGTATGATCCGGAGGGTTCAAGCAGGTTCGTTGCAAAGACAATGGCTTGAATCATTACAGAAGTCCATCGTGCATGGAGTCATCTCTATTTTTGTTTCGGGACACGAAGGCGTCGATGGAAATGAAAGAGCTGATGTGTTGGCTGGATCCGCTATCACTACCGACGGTCAGCCTATGGATCATGCTGCTATTATTAATGCCCTCAGAGAAATGGGAAGGATTGAGGACTTTGGGGGCAGTGAATCCACATCACTCGCCAGAATAGCAGACTTGAGAATTAAGATCGGCACAGCAAAAAACGAGACGCACGCCAGATGACTTATTCATCAACATAGAACTGGTACTATTAGCCATCGGACGTTGTGAGCTGAGGGGAGGATGTGAGCTCCTATGGACATGTCCGGAGTGCAATGATGATAACCCAACTAACTAACTAACTAACTAACTAATTCCATGACGCCGCGAAGCATTCCAGTAGAGAAAAGAAGAAGTAGTAAATCTACTTTAGCATATCTACTTTCAAGTTCTGGCTAATGACTAATGACGATCACGTGACATAGTTTGGTGGAAGAAATCATAAACAAACAAGATGGCGATCCCAGCTGCCGTTATCGCTGCGGGTTGGATTCCTTTCGTTGTCGTTTTAGTTGTAAGTTGTAGAACTCACTGTTGACTATTGCATTCTTCCATTAAAACATACATTTCCAGCAATATATTTGACACAGTTTATCTTTTCGACCCCTCTAGTCCTAGCACACGATTTAAGTTTGGTTTAATTTTGTTTCAATTTTTTTGTACTACGCTTGTTGATGTGTTGTAGTCAAGTCAGTTAACTATAACTAACTCAGTTTTGATTTTCACAATTTTGTTACAGAATCTTCAGTGAACTAAAAATGTTTACAAAAATAAAGTACACTTTTTTTTTTTGAATTCCTTTCCTTTACTATTCTTCTTCGGCATTCCGAGCCCTTGAAGTTCATTTTGCAGATATTAGTAGGGATTTTAGTCAAAATGTAAAAATTAGGTTTTTTACTTTTAAACCAAGACAGCTGAATAGAGGTTGAAAACCCGAGTCCAACGGTACCTCAATGAAGTCTGTATGTCAATTCTAAGCGGAGATATTCACATTTCAGTGACGGAAAGTTGCCCCAAAAATTTATAATGGAAAACACAGAAACAAGATGGCGGCGTGTTCCCAAGTGAAAACTGGACCTAAATTTATCATGTTTAATGTCAATAACTCTCAAGTTTTTTGCTGAACCCCTTAGCAACCATATGTCATTGCTTTCAGGACAGCAGGCTCTGACTAAAGTTGTTGCCTTTAAAAAAAAAAATGATGTGATGCAAACCTAAATAACATAAAAATGAGTTTGTTTATCAGGATTGATAACCTTATTTATGAATTAAATTAATGATTATTATCCAGTGAGTCTTCCAAGACATATATTGTAATATGCATACTTTTGTAACTATTCTTCTTGTTATGATGCATCTCTTCCTATTTGTTTAAAAATGCTTTTTCTTTCACTCTCAATTGTGTGTGTGTGTGTAGTGTGTATACATCTGACCGAAATTTGCTCTACTCCACTGTTAAAAAATGTTCAATAGCGAGTGGATTGACTTCACTGCATCGTTACTGGTTTCATATGGCTTGGTCTTTCTCCACATAACCATGAATGACTAGCCGCATGCCGAGACCTTAGCAGTAAGCCTGAATACCGTAGCTCCAGCAACAGCCTTCAGGGGTCCCTGTTAACCCAAACAAAATGTATTTTTGAGACGAACAAAGCAGTTGTAAAATAAACTCACCGCAACCTTCCGAGCACGAGGTTAATGGCTTGACCACTTTTCTACAGAGACCACCAATATTGTTTGATAACCAAGTGAAAATATGCACCCTTTTTACTGATTTAACATAATCCCTTCTTCAGTCTTTGCGAGTTATTCTTTAATTTTATTGATGATGAGCGCATTTTACCACAGTGTTTCCCTCTTCTTCTTAACTAACACTGCTGGATATTTTATTTACTAGCTCAAAATAATCTAAGGTAACTGCTCATACCTGATTTGTGATTCAGTGCTATGTTTTCATGGAGTAAAATTATTTAATAAGCTCCTTTGTGATTCGCTTTGGATTTATGTTGTGTTTTCATGGAGCAGCATTTCATAAGGTAAGAGGAAAAAGAACATTATATATATTTTATTAACGTATCTATGTCCCATGTGATCTGTTTGCTAGCTAGTATATATTAGTATATTTAGAAAATAATTATTAAATATTAATAATCATAAGTTGTAACTAGCCTTGGCTGTAAGTAAGTAAACGTATGCACAGTTAAACAAATTATAATTTATTATTAATTTTATTAATCGTCAACTTTCTAAATAAGCATCTATAAGTCAATACTAATACTATAATTTTAAAACTAATAATATTCATGCCAAATGATAGATTATGGCTTAAAAAATGCTATAATGGCTAAAGATTCGAAAAATGATTAAATAACTACTTTATGTTCATTTAAAAGTATAATAAAAAATGTTTAAACCACTGTCTGCATCCACAATGTCAGTCTGGGTGCGGAGAGTGGGGGTTCAACAGGTAAAAAGGCTTTAAACAGGAACTATTATTCATGCCAAATGATAGGTTATGGCTTAAAAAATGCTATAATGGCTAAAGATTCCCAAAATGATTTAAAAACTACAATAATGTGATTTTAAAGTATATTTAAAAATGTTTAAACCACTGTCTGCATCCACAATGTCAGTCTGGGTGCGGAGAGTGGGGGGTCAACAGGTAAAAAGGCTTTAAACAGGTACTATGATTCATGCCAAATGATAGGTTATGGCTTAAAAAATGCTATAATGGCTAAAGATTCCCAAAATGATTTAAAAACTACAATAATGTGATTTTAAAGTATATTTTAAAATGTTCAAACCAATGTCTGTGTCCATTTTCAACGCAAAATACCCTAGAAAATAGTCTATGTTAAAAACGTGCTAAAACATTATTTTCAAGTATTTAAAATTATTAAAACTCATGTGAAATTAAAGTTATAGAAAGGTAAATTATAAATACGATAAAAATTGCCTTATTTTTGAACTGTTTTAATAAAAACCTAGATTAATTAATCTGAGATAAACAGTTCGTTTAGGCCACGAGGTAGCCATTTTGAGAAATCGCCGATTTAGCTGTCAAGAAGTGACCGGGAAGAAATTTAAATTTTATATTCTATGATGTACGGATTCCAGCAAAACTACCCATATTTATGTAAAAATGGGCACAGAATCCAAAAATGTCAACTAAAAGTATATAAATTCACTTTAAAAAGGAGATATTAAAGAAATTTAATTCCCGCATAGCAAATAGTGAAATTTATTTGGCTGAACAAAGATCGCTATGTAAGTTAGGTGTCGTTTGGTTGAGCATCCTCTTCTGAATAACTTTGAGCCCACGTATTCGATTCTGAGCAGCCAGTATTGAGCGACAGGATTTCAAAGTAACTGATAGGCAAAGAAGCCATTTTTCGTGGACCACCGACGCCATCTTGTAACTAAGCGATCTCTACTTTCGTTTTTAAGTGGGTCACTTCAATGATCATAATCGCTAATATTAGATATGACCCGCCTCCATTCTTCTCTCTGGTTGGCCTTCTCTTTCCAGTTGGTAACACCAAGTGTTTGCAGGTCTCTCTGGATATTATCTCTCCATATTCTTCTTGATCTGCTTCGTGGTCTACAACCATTCATCTGCCTCGTGTATACAGTTTTTACTTCTCTGTCATCTGACATTGATTCAGTATGCCCCAACCATTTCATTATTAGCTCTCATGATTCCAGGATCAGTGGTGATTTAAACAGACTATAAATTTCGTTGTTGCTTCTCACTCTATATTTCCCGCTGTTTGCATATTTGATGGGTCCAAAGATTCGTCGTAAGACTCTGTTTTCGAAAACCCGTAATAAGGCTTCATCTCTCTTAGTTGTGCTCCAAGTTTCAGAGCCATTTGATACGACTGGTCTTATCAACGTTTTATATATTTTGATCTTGGTGTTGCGAGACAGACACTTTGACTTTAGCAGATGTTGAAGGGCATAGTGTACGGCTATCCTCCGAATAACGGTCCTAAATTATCGAGGCAGAAAATATACCCTACAGGGCCTCAGTCATGTGTTAATTGCGCACTTCCGCAGTCTTAAATTGCGCACTTCCGTAGTCTTAAATTGCGCACTTCTGGCGACTTCCGCCACCACCGAGAGTATCCCCCACGCCGCTCACGCACGTGGCGTGGATTGGGGCTAAACTAGATGGCTGGGACTCACGAGCAGCAGCTACCGCATCTCCTGCAGCTGCCTTCATTTTATTTGCTTGTGAGTCCTAGCCATCTAGTTTAGCCCCAATCCACGCCGCATGGGGGATACTCTCGGCGGTGGCGGAAGTTTGCAATTTGGCGGTGGCGTTATAGTCCCCGGAAGTGCACAATTGACACGTGACTAAGGCTCTGTTAGGGTATATTTTCCCCCTGTATAATTTAGGACCGTTATTCGGAGGATAGCCTAGTATACTTTATTTCCAGATTGTATTTCTTCTTTCAGCATTTTGGAGCATTTGAAGTTTGTACCCAAGTACTTATACGTTTCCGTTCGTTTGATTTTCATATTATCGACTTGTATGTGGCCGGAGTTTATATGCTTTCCCTGTCTAGTTATTATCATGTATTCTGTCTTATCTTGACTGATAACTAGTCCCATTTTCTGAGCTGATTCTTTTAAGACATTCAGTGTTTTAACAGTCTCTATTTCATTTTCTCTAACGATATCAATGTCATCAACATATCCAAGTATTCTTGTAGCTTCTCCTATAGTACACTCTTGTTTCAATTTCCTTATAATTTTCTCCTGGGCCAAGTTGAACAGAAGTGGGGACAGAGCATCACCTTGCTTTAAACCAGATGTTATGCTAATTTTCTTTTTTGGTATTCCAAAGTCCTTCATAGCATTCCATAAACTGTTTCAATGCACACTATCATACGCTTTTTTAAAATCCACAAAAAAATTATGTACATCTTTTCTATATTCCCAATTTTACTTTGCCATTTGCCGTAAAATGAATATCTGATCTATTGTTGATCTCTTCTGTCGGAAACCCGCTTGGTAATCTCCTTATATGTCTTTGACACGGTTTTAGCTGGTTTAGCAGTACCGACGATAGTATCTCACAAAAAGATTTACATTGTGCCTTTCCCAAAGTACCAGCAAACTCATCATCATCATGTGCTATGCTGATTAGCATAGGTTGTCATGGATCAGCTCAATTCTCTTCCTCTCATCCATCCATCCTTGCCGGATCCACACTTAATTCTTCAATCACACATTCTTGCACATGTTATTTCATTTAATTTTGTGTCTTCTGTCAACAGTCGTTCATATATGGTCTTCAGAATTCCATTGTCCAGTATGAGTGTTCCCATAGCTTTCGCTTTTGTAGCCAGAAAATCTGCTCTTTCATTCCCTCACACTCCTGCATTTTCCGGATAGTATATCCACGTGATTCCCTGCAATGTTGGTTTACTGATGCATGGTTTTCACCCATGTCAACTAACAAAGAACTAATAAATTTGTTAGGCATATTAATGGTAAATCATTTCACAGAACATCAAAGAATCAGATTGTTTGTTTGGTCATCTGGTAAGAATGGAACAAAGTCAGCCAGCTGCTAGAGCTTACTGCATGAGAAAAGCAGACTACAAGTCAAGAGGCCGACCCAAAAAAAATGTTATGATGGTTTTGACATGCATGCAGATGGGAAAAATCGGCAATTATCGCAGGCATAGGAATCCAAGAACCAGGGAACCAGACTTGCAGAATGAGCCAGTGTCCCTGGGGAAAACAACATCCAAAAATTCCCTGACTGAGTACTGGAATGGAACAGAGCAATAAAAAAAAAAAACTGCTGGTAGAGAAGTCTGGCGCTTTCTCTGGAAAACCTCTACACCCTAAGGTAGAAGAGGATCAACTAAGTAAAGTTGTGATGTCCTGAGAAAGAAATGCATCTAAATCTTAATTGTTCATTCTTTGAAGGCTTTGACTTGAAACTTGTATTTTTGTTTTGTTTTTTCAGCTGACCCTACTCTTCTCTGGATTTTATGTGAGATATTTTATGAGCAAATATGACAGTGAACTGTCTACAACACTGACAGCCATTTTTGCTCTCACTGTTACTTTGCTAACCTCAGCTTTAGTTCCTGTGGACATCTTTTTGGTGTCTTATATGAAGGACACTGATGGCAGATTTAAGGTTTGTTCTTGTGGGTGTCATTTATATTATCAGTGTTCACTTTCTCAATCAGTCAATCAGGTACTATTTCCACAGCGAAGGTTGACTGCAGTGGATCTCCAACACACACTGCCTTTTGTTTTGGTTTGCCTTTTGTCTTGGTTTGTCTCTTGTCTTGGTCTGTCTCTTGTCTTGGTTTGTCTCTTGTCTTGGTCTGTCTCTTGTCTTGGTCTGTCTCTTGTCTTGGTCTGCCTTTTGTCTTGGTCTGTCTCTTGTCTTGGTCTCCCTTGTCTTGGTCTGTCTTTTGTCTTGTTTTGTCTCTTTTCTTGTTCTGTCTCTTTTCTTAGTCTGTCATTTGTTTTGGTCTGTCTCTTGTCATAGTCTGTCTCTTGTCCTGATTTGTCTACAGCCCTCTGATTTGGATGTTCCTCCATACTGCATTGTCAAACTATCCAGCACTCTCTGTCTTGATCTTCTGCCTCTCTTTCCCTATCACTTTCCTGTTATATTGATGTACTTTAATTCTATTTTCAGAAAGGTGATGAGCAGCTGTGTTATTTTTTGGATCAATTTCTCATATTCTGTTCCATTGGGGGGGGGGGGGGGGGTGTCGACACATATGGTTAATTCATTGGCTCAGATCCAGAGAATGTAGATTAACTGGTTCTGATGCGGGTAAATATTTATATTTAAGTTAATCTCTTTCAGAGCATTTTTGTGCATCTGTTCATGATGTTGTCCTTATTCTTCACTAAAACCACATCTCTTGCAATTTCCACATAATTCGCCCTTGTTGTTATAGAAAAGCACAGAGACACATCTCTCTAGCTTTTACATAATTGCCAGGAGTTACAAGGGGATCTGTCTGAGGCTCAACCCTCAGGGGAAAGGCGAGATGGATAATAAACTCAGACAGTTACTAGTGCCATCGGAATTTGAACTCTTTGCTTGCTGCTGAAGATGGGGATGGAACGCTTATGGGGGTGTCCCAAGTGCTGTGATGTTGATTCTTAGTTCAACATTCTCACTAATATGCTGACCAATAATGTCTAAACTTAGATCGCTTTTTATGAGCCAAAAAAAAACAAGGTCGTGTTCAGTGTGTGAATCTGATTCTGTTTAATCACATTCCCTGTATGGGTCCCTGCGCCCCATTGTGGGGGGGGGGGTGGGGGGGGGGGTGAACAAGAGCAGACCCACTGCCTCTCCAACAAGGATGTTGTAGGAGTCAACAAATTAGGGACTTCCTTCGAAATCGGAGTGCATCTGCCAGAGCGGCAAGGAACCACCAACAGCACACAAGTTAGCCAGTAAAACGGATGTACTGGCAAAGCTCTGGCCTTGCCACAAAGTCAGCCCAAATGGACAAACAACCAGGACTTTCTGCCAGAGCTTACAGCCGGTGAACAAAGAAGAAGAAGATTTAATAACAACATCTTCATCATCATCATGTAGCAGAACAATGATTTCATTAGCTTACATTAGAGACACTGAATTCTTTATTAGTTCCTCTGATTTGTGGTTTATCAGGCCCTGCATATCTACAGTATATTTACCATCAGTATGGTCCTTCTCTGCTTTGTCTTCCTTGGAAAATACCTTTAATTAATCTTCGCTGTTTACCATCAGTATGGTCCTTCTCTGCCTTGTTGTCCATGGAATAATATATTTAATTAATCTTCAATATCTACCATCACTTTGGTTCTTCTCTGCTTTGTCTTCCATGGAATAATGCCTTTCATTAATCTTCAGTATTTACCATCACTTTAGTCCTTCTCTGCTTTGTCTTCCATGGAATAATACCTTTCATTACTACTATATCTAAATCATTAAGATTTAATTCTATCAGAATGTTTTAGTTTTCAAGGTAATTCCCCTCCCCTACCTGTCCTTCCCTGCCTGCTGTGTATTTGCTTGACTGAGACCACTGTCCTGATGTTATCATCAGCTCGTGCCATCTATGACTTTCTTCTTTTCAGCGAGTCTCCTCTCAAATGTTTCTGGCGTTAGTTTACTTCAGTCGGTTTGTGTTGCAAAATGAAATTACTGTATTCTTTTTACATGGACACATGCTGTTCTAAGAAGAACTTTTCTGTAGCTTTTATATGAAAAAAATTTCTTCTTTCGTATAGTGTTTATGTAGTAAATTATATTTATACTTTAAATTGAACCCTAAATTTTTGTATGTCTGTTGATAGGATTGGGCTAATTCTTCTGCTGTACGTGATGAAACAGAAAACACTGTACTTATTGCCTATTATGGTAAGTTGCAGCCTCACATGAGACATCGGTATTGCAGTTTTACGTTGTATGTAGTTTCCACATTCGCATGCTGTCCTTACTGACACATAAACTAAATCCTTTGTCCTTGACACTCTAGAGGGAGGAAAACTGGCACAGAACTTGGAACCTGTGTAAAATATCTGTTAAAAAGAATGGTATACAGGTCACTTATAAATTAACATTTATTAATTTCTATACCTAATGTGCATGTGTGTGCACGTGTGTATGTGTGTGAGAGGAAAAGAAAAATGGAGTAATCAGTAACCATGAATAGAGCAGAGAGTTAAATGGAATACTTTCCCTTGGCCACACAAATTGAGTTGAACTGGGGCATACACGCACACACACACATTTTTCTCCTGCTCTATTTCCCCTTACATACACATAAACACAAAAAGCTTGCTTCAATTAATGTATTTTTATAATGTCATAATTTTTAATGAGAAACAAATATGGTTTTTGCATTTCAGTTCTGTATGGAATAATAGCATTTTGCCTGTTCCTTCTTCTTCCATTCATGTACTTCTTTTATGAGGAGAAGGATGAAGAGTCTACATGTAAATCTGTGAGTATACGTTTTTCTTTTATTTCAATGTCTTGAAATGTCATTATGGTCCTTAGTACATGGACCTCTGAAGCATGTAATATCACCCCAGGACTACCCCAAGGTTCTACAATTTCACCACTGCTCTTCAATGGCCAGTTCTGCACCACTTGTTGGTAAATTGATGTATGACAAGCTAGATGTTGTGAGGGCCCTATGGGTGCGAGTGAACAGTGCGAAGGCGCAAATAGATCATTATGGTCTGAGGAAAATGGCACTGCCAGGAGTTACCAGGGGATCTGGCCGATGCTCAACACTCAGGGGAAGGACGAGACAATTATACAATCAGACAGTTACTGGTGCCATCAGAATTGGAACTCTTCATTTGCTGCTGAAGATGGGGACGGAGCACTTATAGGGGTGTCCCGAGTGCTATGATGTCGATTCTTAATTCAACATTCACCATTTATTACGTGTCACATAGGTCTCGCAGTCTATTGCTACGTTCGGTTCTATCCTCTGCAATCACTTTGAAGTAATGTGATGGTGTTATATTTCTGTTATTGTAATAAGAGAGACTGGTCTAGTGTTTACAGAGTAGACGAGACAGAGTTCGTCTCCAAACAGCTCCTCCACATCACAGTCGACACTAGTTCATAATCGTTTTACTTTTTAATAATCACAGCACATGAGCTGTGAGAGCCTTTACTCCGGTCTAACAAACAGCCTAGCGACAGCCTAGCGTGACACTTACTTTACATATCCAGGTTCCACTTATCTGCACTTCAGATCACATGGCCAAACCTTCAGCGTCCCCTGTTGACATGTACACGACCACAACCAGCACTCAGGAAGAACACATCAGTATTGCCATACTATCAGTCTTCATTCCATGTAGACTTCTACACAGATGATCAGCTTTCCATGCAGACGATCAGCTTTCAGTACAGACGATCAACTTTTGCACCTTTCAGCTCTGGGGCCCTATTGCAGAATGAATCACTATTTGGCCATTCCCCTAGTTATCCTATGTTCTTTAGTCTACTCACACATTTATGAGGCTTCACTCTCTCATTCTTTTATGTCTTGCAACCTAGGGATTCCCTGATTCTAACAACCAGTCATGGATCCTGGCTAAGTGCAGCATACCAGGAAATGAGTTAGCAGACATACTTGCAGAAAATGTAACAAAGGAGAAATTACACACCCATTCATTGTCATTACCAGAAATCAGAACACTTATCAAGAAAAAAATACGAGGAATTGTGGAGAGAACAAACTAACAGTAAACATCCACAAGACCCCATATGCAAACTCAACAGAAAGCAACATACAACAGTTTGTCATCTATGAGCAGGAGGACACTGCAGGCTTAACTACAACTTGCATAAAATAAAGATTGTACAGTCCCCACAGTGTGCCTGTCAAACAGGACCACAAGCTATGGGGAACCATGAAGGACCTGCAGCTGACATGCGAGTTCATAAAGGCAATCCACCTGATGGTCTGATCTGAGCATACAAAACCGAACGCAAAGAAGAAGAAGATAACAACCAGTCAGAACTCTAAAGTCCTCTTTTTCGCTCACTACAGATGGAATCAATTTCATCATCTCCTTTCCTCGGTCCCTTTGTTTCCAATTTCAGTGCCTGTTTGGTGATTCTGTGCTGGTTTCTTCTCAGGATGTGTCCAGTGTAGAGCCATTTTATCTGTCTTACATCTGCTGATACTAGTGATTGCCCAGGCTTTTCTCTTGTTTCTACACAACTCTGGGATTCAACCCTTTTCCCCCTCAGTGCCTCTAAATTCTGTATGAATTTGTGTGCTTCTTTTTTGTTGTCTTTTGTGCCTACAAATAAAACAAAAACATTGATCAGAGCTATGGGGTGCATGCTCCGCACTTGATTTCATCTTCAGCTGACAAGAGAGAGGGTGAAGAGGAAAAGATAAGGAAAAAGAAACTGGTACCATCAGAATTTCAAGTTTTGTTCTGGCTGCTAAAGATGGGGGCAGAACACTTATGGGAATGAAAGAGGGTGCTGTAATCTCGATTAACCTAACTCAGCTTATTATTTCTCACCTGGAGAGTGTAAAGAAAATAAATGCTAGAGTTCAGAGAAAAAAAAAGATTAAAGTATCAATAGGAAATAAAGCATGAACTATTGGAAAACAATAGAAATTGTTTAAATGTAAATAAATGTTTTTTATGCAATACAAGTTACCGACAAAAAAATTACTTAATGGAATCCAGATTTCTTTTGTGATCTTTGACTAAATGTAAAAGATACTAGAAGACATTTCGCAATGATTGAGATTCACAGTGAAACTGCCAGTGACATGCACTAGTTGGATGAAAGTTAGAAACTACTTAAAGTGGTGTTTACTATATTTTGGATGCAGATTCGTGCCGCTCCAGTTAAGCTTACACCATATTATGAGTTGGCGTCCGTGGCTTAGGCGTTGCGAGTCCGACTCATGTTTCCAACCAACTGTGATCGAAATCCACTGCTGGCTGCGTGGATTATTATCATGGTGTGGGGCATCACAGGTTGACCCAGCCTAAAATTGGTACCAGGATGTATGTCCTTGGGAAGTAAAGCCGGCCAGCGTAATGCTGACCACATTACCCACTGATTTCTCTGTAAAAATATAGGTTGTTCTTCCCTTATGGCTGATGAGCCTAAAAGTGTGAAAAGGGATCTTTACTTTAAAAAAAAATATATTATGAGTTGAAAGATGCCTAGTTTCTATGTTTGGTCTGTGTATATGTGAAAGCAGAATTTTTAAAAATAATTTGAATGTATCCTTTTTTTGTTTGCTTCTAGCGGTGCTGTACAGCCTCAAAGTACTCCATTGTGTGTGTTTTGATTGCGGCAACATTTCTGCTTGTTGGGTGAGTTATTTAACTTTGTCACCACAAAAAGCTGACAAAACTGACACTTCCGGTTGGGTCATATTCCTCATGAATGTAACTCTTCTAACTTTTCTACGATGATGTATTTACAAGATGCATAGATAATGCTATTGGCTGAGTTTGAGCCTGCACAAGTGTTTAGGAAGTCAGGATACATTAGCTAACAACAGCAGGTTAGGTTCATTTTCTGTCAACCAAAGGGATTCATTTTCTGTCAGCCAAATGGAGAACAACTAAGGCAATTACTAGTAAATTACAGACATTCATTAACTGGTGCCTGCACAGAATAGAGGGAATTAAATGGTATGATAGAATAACTGATGTAGAGCTTTGGGAGCGATCTAAATAGGCTCCAGTGGTCCATGAGGTGAGGAAAAGATGCTGGCATTGGATAGGACACACACTGAGAAGACAGGAGAAGGGCATAACTAGAATGTCTTTGCATTGGAACCCACAGGGGCATAGGAATAAAGGAAGGCTAAAAAATACATGGAGAAGAGAGCTGGAGAATGAAGTTAGAAAGATGGGGAGGACATGGGAAGAGCTCCTTGTAATAGCGAAGGATAGAACGACTTGGCGTGAGTTAGTTGAGGGCCTATGCTCCATTGGGGGATAGAAAGGCAGAAAAAGAAGAAGAAATTAGTTCATTTACTGCCAACTAGTGGGTTCGTTTCCTGTCAGGTCCACCGCCCCTAACAATCGTGTTGTAAAAGTTGTTTCACTCAGAAAGTATCTGCTGGAGGGGCGAGAAACCAACAGTCTGCATACAGATAAGCCAGATCTGTAAAACTGACGCACATGCAGAACTAAACTAAAGTTCTGGAAAAAAACAAATTTAGAAGTGGACCAGCAACCAGAACTTTCTCCAGGTGTATACAGCCAGTAAAAACAGAGAAGAAGAAGAAGAAGAAGCCTTTAGAGCCGAGGTAGCTCATGCTCAACTGTCAGTCTGGTAGTCATGGGCTTGAAGCGATGTGGATTCATAAACTTGTCCTCGGCTCCTGGGTTGACCTAGCCTAAAAATGGGTACCAGGAAGTGCTGTGGAAAGTAAAGGCAGCTAGTAGGATAATGGCCACATCAGTCATTAAATGTCATTTGGTCAGTAAAGAAAATATGGCATTTGCACCATCTTCCCCTTATAAATTCTTTCCTCCCCTTTTGGGAGAACAAAAATAGACCCAATGCCCCCCCCCCCTCCCCCCACACCCCCAACAAGCATGTCATAAAAGGCAACTAATTAAGCATTTGTTAAAATCCGATGTGTTGGTTCAGTCGATTGATTGGCTTGCACCCCTCCAGGGTGCTAGCTGAAGGTTTACTATACCACGACTGGCTCAAGCTGACGGGCTGTGCTGCTGATGTCACGGGGTCGGGCTAACGATGTGTTAACGCAGCAGTTCGCAAACAAGAAATAAAATATTTTTGACAGTGGCGAGGGAAGACAACTTAAATTTTAACTTTTAAGGATCTACATGCCCTCTTAAAAAATTTCACAATTTATAGCCGACTTTTCTTGATTATTGACGCTGCACTCCTGGATCACAGCACCCCTGGCTGCCTCGGCACCCAGTTTGAGAACAGCTGCATTAACGCATCGTTAGCCCGACCCGGTGACATCAGCAGCATGGCCCGTCAGCTGGTGCCGGTCGTGGTTTACCATACCATCCTGAGATTAAAGAACCTTGATATGGACAGCGCAGATGATCTCATCAATAGAAACAATGGCCACAGCCATCGACTAGTACACTCATTCAAGTTATTAGAGACAATAAAACACGGAAAATTGAAATATTTGGGTCACTTGAAATGTCACGAAAGTTTAGAGTGAACAATAATGGAGGGGTGTGTGCCTGGGAAGAGAGGAAGAGGAATTCCAAAGAGCAGATGGGTGCTGGATGTGGCATATGATCTCCAGATCGTTGTATCAGACGCAGGACATCTTGCTGGTGATCAAGACGTTTTCCTGGAGAGTTGTTATGGGAGCAAGGTTCTGGAAAGGACAGGCTACTGACTGACTGACTGACTGACTGACTGACTGACTGACTGTCTGACTGACTGACAATATGGACGGCAGACCAACAAGGTAGATCCCGGACATCCAGCTCAACCTCCAAAGAAGTTATAATTAGGGCTCACGTAATGGTTACGCCAGTTAAGGGTAAGGTGCAGCCCTGCGTGTAAGGATGAGGTTGAGTTGAGTTAAAAGGCACAGATATCACAGTCTAGCTGTAAACTTCAGCGCATTGTGCCAGCTGCTTTTTTAAGGGTGAACACAGAAAAAGAAGCACCAAATACATAGTATGCGTTAATACATGGAAACAGGTCAAGTATTTTTTTCAGAAATATTTATTTATTCACGTAAAGAAATGTCTTACTGTCACATGTTTTAATATATCAACATCATCATCATCCCATAACACTATGTGTCGTTGGGTCACCAGTTTCTTTTGACTGTCTGATCAGCTGTCTCCACCTTTAGCGGTCAGTTGTGATGGACTTCATGGTTGCACGCCTAAGGCCTGTCCAGTCAGTCAGGTTCTATAACCAGGTCTCTCTTGGTCTGCCTCTTCTCCTCTTTCCCTCTACTGAGCCCTGCAGTATTGTTTTTGAGAGGGTGTTAGATCTTATTACATGTCCGTACCATTTAATATATGCACTATTTATGTCTGCAGGGCTTTTGTTCCGACCAGATCTAATCCAAATTCTAACAGCACAGAATGGAAGAAAATCGAGGCTCTCTTCGGTGACATGGCCAGTACAGGTACCCTAAGTTTTACCCACCTGAATTAGGATGTTTGTTTGCCAGCTTGAGCTCCAGCTGAAGTTTTGGTTGGTTGGTTGTGTCTGGGCTTTGATCTTGTTTCAGAACTTGAGTGATGCATGTACATCTGACAGATAATTCCTTGCCTCCCAGGCAGATGTGCTCGAACTTCAAAGGGAATGTGGATCCTAACTACATTGCCTAGGCTGCTATAGGGATTCTGGTTCTAGGATGCCCGTTGTCACATACTGCTCGTGTCACGTGCCTAGCTACGGATATCTCCTGATGAACCAGCAGCACTCTGAAATAGTTATAAATGTTGGGATGTCGGCTCGCAATGGTCTAGACGGAATCCTGCAGCTCCAATATACATCCTACCTATTTCAGGGGTGAGGCGACACTAGTTAGGGCACTACAGAATATACACTCCTAGGCACAACTTGGCCTGACGTCCTCACCACTACCGAAAAAAAAGAAAACAGCCCCCAGACTAGATAGTCTATTATCATAGTCAATACAACACAATTATGTAATTTAATAATTACACACACTCCAGACACCCAGGAACAGTAAAGGATGTACACTAAATCGAGAATGAAAAATTCCAAAGACATGTTGTAAAAAATTTAGCATATACATATTTGAATCAGGCAAAAGGAACTCAACAGAATCAATGATGAACTGGTGAAGAGTCTTGGCCGTGTGTACGATTCCAACTTATTCGATGGAGCAGAAGTCCGGCAAATACATGAGTCGCTGGCTACAGGCCTGATTGCGATCGAGTGGTCCAGGCTGATCGGGAAGTTTAAGGTGTGGTGCCTCCAGCATATGTTGATCCCCAAGCTCCTCTGGCCGCTGCTCGTTTACGAGGTCAGCATGACCGCAGTTGAGACCATGAAGAAAAAAATCAACACCGCCATGAGGAAATGGCTTTGAGCACAGCCTTGTCTGACCAGTGTGGCTCTGTATTGCAAGCAGGCAAAGCTGGTGCTGCCATTCAAGTCGATAACGGAAGAGCTCAAAGTCTGCAAGGTGAGGCTCACGATGATGCTTCGTGAGTCCTCTGACCCTACTGTGGCCGCTGTCCAGCCCGCTCTCAAGACAGGCACAAAATGGATAGTGTCAGATGCAATAGATTCTGCCCAGAATGCACTAAAATTAAGAGAAGTAATGGGATACAATCAAACTGACCGACGAGGCCTAGGGCATGGGAAAGTCAGTTGGTGGTCAAAAGCCTCAGCGAAAGAGCGCAGAGATATGGTAATAGAACAGATCAGGAACACCGAAAACAAGACTTGGGTTCAAAAAGCCACCCAACAATCGCAGCAAGACCAATGGATCGGCCTTGAGAGTGCCTTGCCATGAAATCTCACGTGGGGAGAGATTTGGTGAATGGCCCTGCTGCAGTTGAGCTTCGTGATTAGATCTGCGTATGATGTTTTACCCTCTGGTGCCAATATGCTGAAATGGTGTACGACGACCGACCGGACATGCCCACTATGCAGAGCTAAGCAGACGCTCGAGCACGTTTTGTCATCGAAAGAAAGCCCTAGGCCAGGGAAGATTTACTTGCCGCCACAATAAGGTCCTGAAAGAGTTAGTGGACCAAGCAAGAATGAGGGCCAGTTCTACGGTCACCCCCCATGCGCTTCCTGAAGCCCAATCAGATCTACAAAGGTACACAAAAAACTGTCGCAAACGCTCCATCAGTGCTTGACTGTGCGAGGGACTGACTACTGGCGGTCGACTTACCTGGTCACGAGAGGTACCCAGAGTTAATCCGAAAGCCCGGCCTGCGATCCGACATAGTCCTACACTCTACGGAAAAATGTCAGCTCATCCTGATCGAGCTGACCATGCTGGGAGTAGAAAGGGGGTGGGGGAGCATGGGCGGTCTTGCCATTTATTCGGGGAAAGGGGGGGGCACCAAAAAAAGATAAGAGATTGATGCTTTAAACTGCTTTGGAAATTGCTGCTTTGACTGATATCCAACTCTGTATCTCCAGTCTCTGTCCTCAGGGATCACTAACATTCCTCCACATGTGGGCTCTGCATCTTGAGTTAGTTTATTTTCTTCTGTGTTTGACATCAGCCTTGCTAAACTCATTCCTGCCTGATTTATAAACAGAGTGGCCCATCTAAGGTCATCTCTGGCTCTTCACCAGTTTGTCTGGTAATGTGGCTCCGTTGGGCCATATCCACAATCTTTAGTGTCAGTTGTTAGGACAGTCCTCCAGTACGTGCTCAGGAGTCTGTCTGCTCCACATTCACAGGCAGAAGATTCTGTTACATCAGTTCTGTCTAGGTATGCTTCAAGACGACAATGTCCAGTTTGGAACCTAAAAATTGATGTTTGTTGTTTTCTCTTAAGCTTGTTTATGCTGTCACGCTGCTGTATAGTCTCCACTGTGCCTTCCAATGACTGCTTTAGTGCTATTTTAGTTAACTTGTAACTCTGTGGTGGCTGAGGTTGTGGAAGATTACTCCTAGCTTTTGTCAGCTAATCTGCTCTGTCATTTCCTGGAATACCACAATGAGCTGCTATCCACTGTAGAACCAGTTCTGCTACCTCGGAAAGCACGCCAATGCTTGTCCTTAGATCTGCAATTAGTTTTTCAGCCAGTTCATAATTATATACCAAAAGAATTCATAAATAATCAGAAAGTAATAATTATTATAAACTTGTTGCAGGGATTGAAGATGCGCTGTCATTTGTCATCAGCATTTTTAGTCTGATCGGAATGCTTGGGATTCTGTTTTACACTGTGAGTAATCCATTTTTAATTATAAATATTAATTTTCAATAGAGTCGCATAAGCTCTGAAGTCAGCACGATTGCCTGGTTCAGATCCCCAGCAAAGTGTATTTTTAAAAATTACCTGGGTCTTGGCTGACCAACCCTAATCACTGGTACCAGGAAGTGTTAGGAGAAGTAAAGATGACTGATGAGTTATTGACCACATCACTATCAAGTGCCTGTTGGTTTATTTAAAAAAAAAAAAACTTGTGGTTATCTTAGGAAATTTTTCAGTTTTAATGTGACAGTGAAAGTTGGAGAATCACTAAAGAAAGAGAACAAAAGTTAAATGCATTTGAAAACAGATACCTGATGAAAATTTTGAACATAAAATGTGATGAATTCAAGAGTAGTGCAGAAATATCTTGGCAGTCACTAGTAACAGCAGTTATTAGACAAAGAAGATGGCGCTATACTGGACACATTCTGAGAATAAATGCGCAGAGAATCATCAAACAGGCACTGAAATATGAAATAAGAGGATTGAGGAAGTGAGAATGTTGAAGAGAAATCCTAAGGCGGATGTTGACACCCAGTAATTGAAACAAAAACACCCAGTAGCTGATACAATAACATCAGTAATTGAAACAGTAACACACAGTAATTGGAACAGTAACACACAGTAATTGAAACAGTAACACACAGTAATTGAAACAGTAACCCACAGTAATTGGAACAGTAACACACAGTAATTGGAACAGTAACCCACAGTAATTGAAACAGTAACCCACAGTAATTGGAACAGTAACCCACAGTAATTGAAACAGTAACCCACAGTAATTGGAACAGTAACACACAGTAATTGAAACAGTAACCCACAGTAATTGAAACAGTAACACACAGTAATTGGAACAGTAACACACAGTAATTGGAACAGTAACACACAGTAATTGAAACAGTAACACACAGTAATTGGAACAGTAACACACAGTAATTGAAACAGTAACCCACAGTAATTGGAACAGTAACACACAGTAATTGGAACAGTAACCCACAGTAATTGGAACAGTAACACACAGTAATTGGAACAGTAACACACAGTAATTGGAACAGTAACACACAGTAATTGGAACAGTAACACACAGTAATTGGAACAGTAACACACAGTAATTGAAACAGTAACACACAGTAATTGGAACAGTAACACACAGTAATTGGAACAGTAACACACAGTAATTGGAACAGTAACACACAGTAATTGGAACAGTAACACACAGTAATTGGAACAGTAACACACAGTAATTGAAACAGTAACACACAGTAATTGGAACAGTAACACACAGTAATTGGAACAGTAACCCACAGTAATTGAAACAGTAACCCACAGTAATTGGAACAGTAACCCACAGTAATTGAAACAGTAACCCACAGTAATTGGAACAGTAACACACAGTAATTGAAACAGTAACCCACAGTAATTGAAACAGTAACACACAGTAATTGGAACAGTAACACACAGTAATTGGAACAGTAACACACAGTAATTGAAACAGTAACACACAGTAATTGGAACAGTAACACACAGTAATTGAAACAGTAACCCACAGTAATTGGAACAGTAACACACAGTAATTGGAACAGTAACCCACAGTAATTGGAACAGTAACACACAGTAATTGGAACAGTAACACACAGTAATTGGAACAGTAACACACAGTAATTGGAACAGTAACACACAGTAATTGAAACAGTAACACACAGTAATTGGAACAGTAACACACAGTAATTGGAACAGTAACACACAGTAATTGGAACAGTAACACACAGTAATTGGAACAGTAACACACAGTAATTGGAACAGTAACACACAGTAATTGAAACAGTAACACACAGTAATTGAAACAGTAACACACAGTAATTGAAACAGTAACACACAGTAATTGAAACAGTAACACACAGTAATTGAAACAGTAACACACAGTAATTGAAACAGTAACACACAGTAATTGAAACAGTAACACACAGTAATTGGAACAGTAACACACAGTAATTGGAACAGTAACACACAGTAATTGGAACAGTAACACACAGTAATTGGAACAGTAACACACAGTAATTGGAACAGTAACACACAGTAATTGAAACAGTAACACACAGTAATTGAAACAGTAACACACAGTAATTGGAACAGTAACACACAGTAATTGAAACAGTAACACACAGTAATTGGAACAGTAACACACAGTAATTGGAACAGTAACACACAGTAATTGGAACAGTAACACACAGTAATTGGAACAGTAACACACAGTAATTGGAACAGTGACACACAGTAATTGGAACAGTAACACACAGTAATTGAAACAGTAACCCATCTGTTAGAGATCTGCAGCTGAAACTTTCAGAGGTTATGTATGGATTCTAAAAACATGTTTTTCTCATGTAGGCTTATGGGATGTCGGTGCTGCCACTGGATCTAGTCAGGGGTCAGGAAAGTGCTAAGAAGGAACGGATGCAGACGCAAGCAGAAAGAGAGGAGAATCAAAGAAAACGTCAGAGTCTGCGAGACAAAGTGAGTTCTTCCTCTCAAATATAAATTGTTCTTGAACCGTGACTGAAGAAATCATGGGGCTTTTGGCAACAACCATTTATATTGTGGGTAACTTTGATGTTTCCTGATGACTTTGCTGTAATTGACAATCAGTTTTTGTCTTGGACAGATCAGCCTCATTTTCTCTCAGTGTTGTCTTCCTTAAGCCCTCCCGTCTGAGAACCGGCAAGGCAGCTGTCATGTTCTTTTCCATGTTATACAGGCTCATGTTTGTTTACACGGTTTCATGGGGTGGGGGAACCGTCTTCGGTATGATCCACAATAATCTCCATACGGTACACACTAGCTCACTCCTGATTGGTCGACCTCCAGTCACCTGACCTTCGCACACTGCTAGGGGGGTGTTTGGTAATGTGTTCATATTGCATATTGTATATTTAAGCAAGCCAGCGCTTTTAACACTACGAGAAACGTTTACAAACTGGGTCTAATCCACAACCCCCATAGAGAGTGCTGCAACCAATGTCACAGGCATTCTCTTTTTTTGGAAGAAAAACGTAAATGCAAGACAAGCCAAAAAGTAAACTAAATACTCGTAACCCCCCCCCCCCCCCCCCCCCGGATAGCAGATGAATCTATCAGTGGACCGTGACACAGTTTGGCTGGGGAGATTATAGTAGATCAGACCCTGTCTTCTTGTACATATTTGTCACCTCTGAACTCCGGTGGATAGTTGTGTGTGTCCATGGCTGGACTTTGGTCTTGTTCATGGACTTGAGTGTTGCATGCATATCCGTTTTTCTGATCCTGCGTATTTGAATGCAGATTATCCTTACCTCTCAGGTAGATGTGTTTCCAAAATGAAGGAAACGATACTATCTGCCCTTCCAGACCCTTGTGGAAACCTGTTTTTTCTGAGATGACCACAGAGAGGTGAAGATAGATCTTGAACCGGTTCAAGCAGTGGTCCTGGCACATCAACCCCATAAGTGGTAATACACATCTCAATTCTGAGACAACAGTCGAATATAAAACGTTATAGAGACATTTTTCCAGCACTTCTAATGTCTTAATTTTTCCACATAATCTTTTCTTGTTTGGAGAAAGACTGCTAACAAAGCTAGGAGATATCATGTGAGAAACGAAGAGGTTCAAAGAATTGTTAGAACAGTATCTCCCCTTTGTGTTTTTGGTTATCCTATTGTCGAAACAAAAAAATTGGGCATGTCATACGGGTCGACTAATTATAGGTTTCTTTAAAAGTTGGAGTGCATCTGCCTGAGAGACAAGTTGTTGTTGTTGTTATCGATCCAGCGGCGCATGAGCTTTCGCCCTTTGGCCCAATGCCATGTAGTGGAATTTGCATGTTTTCACAAGCTGTTCTTTTCCTCCGTACAAGGTGTTCCACTTGTCTGGTCTCGGAGGGAGTAGCGTTCTTCTTGTCTCACTGAGTTTTGGGCACTCAAAGAGATGGTGTTCAACAGTTTCGTAGGGGTAGTTACATAGCTGGCACTCTGGGGAGCCTGAGAGACATGAAACTAACATGAAAGAAAGGAAATGAAAGACAAAAGAGTTCTTGAATGACGTACATACGCAGGCACACATACACACACAAATAAACAGTGTGGGAGGAGGCAATATTTTCTCTTCCCTATGCATAAATGATAGTTACATTGAGAAACAATCACAATATTGACATAATAATTTTGAACTGTATCTTTTGCAGTACCTCAACCGGAGGTCCTTCACTTCAAGGGCTCGAAGGCATGAGGATAATTTAGTTGAAGAAGACCACTTGCTTGCTCGGCGTGAACGACACTTGATTGCATCAGAAAACAGCTGGTTCCACAAGTGCTTCTTTTTGCTGCGGCCGTTTGAAATCGTCTTGGGAGTGGTGTTCTTTCTTCTGGCGTTGCTTGTTTTTATTTCCTTGCTTCTCACAAAGTAAGTTATCACTGTTTAGTAAGTAAGATCACTGTTTAGTAAGTAAGTTATCACTGTTTAGTAAGTAAGTTATCACTGTTTAGTAAGTTATCACAGTTTAGTAAGTTATCACTGTTTAGTAAGTAAGTTATCACTGTTTAGTGAGTAAGTTATCACTGTTTAGTAAGTAAGTTATCACTGTTTAGTAAGTTATCACTGTTTAGTAAGTAAGGTATCACTGTTTAGTAAGTAAAGTTATCACTGTTTAGTAAGTTATCACTGTTTAGTAAGTTATCACTGTTTAGTCAGTTATCACTGTTTAGTAAGTTATCACTGTTTAGTAAGTTATCACTGTTTAGTAAGGAAAGTTATTACTGTTTAGTAAGTTATCACTGTTTAGTAAGTTATCACTGTTTAGTAAGTGAAGTTATCACTGTTTAGTAAGTTATCACTGTTTAGTAGGTAAGTTATCGCTGTTTAGTAAGTAAGTTATCACTGTTTAGTAAGTTATCGCTGTTTAGTAAGTAAAGTTATCACTGTTTAGTAAGTTATCACTGTTTAGTAAGTTATCACTGTTTGGTATGCAGTACTTACTGTTTAGTAAGTAAGTTATCACTGTTTAGTGAGTTATCTCTGTTTAGTAAGTAAGTTATCACTGTTTAGTAAGTTATCATTGTTTAGTAAGTTATCACTGTTTAGTATGCAGTACTTACTGTTTAGTAAGTAAGTTATCACTGTTTAGTAAGTAAGTTATCACTGTTTAGTAAGTTATCACTGTTTAGTAAGTAAGGTATCACTGTTTAATAAGTAAAGTTATCGCTGTTTAGTAAGTTATCACTGTTAAGTAAGTAAGTTATCACTGTTTAGTAAGTTATCACTGTTTAGTAAGTAAGTTATCACTGTTTAGTAAGTAAGTTATCACTGTTTAGTAAGTAAGTTATCACTGTTTAGTAAGTTATCACTGTTTAGTAAGTTAGTTATCACTGTTTAGTAGGTAAAATATCACTGTTTAGTAAGTAAATTATCACTGTTTAGTAAGTACATTATCACTGTTTAGTAAGTAAGTTATCACTGTTTAGTAAGTACATTATCACTGTTTAGTAAGTAAGTTATCACTGTTTAGTAACATTTAGTTAATTATTACTGCTTTCTAGAAAGGACAAAAGGTCCCTGGGCTCACTACAGTGTTTTCCCCATGTGGGTTCCGGGGTCCATTGTGGGGAAAACAAGAATAGACCCACTGCCTGCCCAAAAGCATGTCATAACAGTCTACTAATTGGGAGCTTCCTTTAAAGTCCAAGTACATCTGCCTGAGAAGCAAGGAACCAACAGTCTGCATACAGATGAGTCGAACCTGTGAAACAGATGTACACCCAACACTCAGTTTCTGGAACAGAACTAGAGTCCAAAAGTGGATGAACAACCAGAACTTTCCGCTCGAGTTTACAGCCGGTAAATGTGAAGAAGAAGAGCACAGAGTGTCTTTCAAAAAGCCTCCTACTCAACATAAAGTGCCTGTTACAGTATCACTAATACAAATGATGCAGAAAAAGATGCCTGTAGGTTATATTAACATTTATTATGTTATAACCGCTTCGTAACATTTATTACATTATAACCGCTTAGTTACATTTATTAGGTATAACGGCTCTTAGTAACATTTATTAATTTATAACCCCTTAGTAACATTTATTAGGTTATAACCGCTCTTAGTAACATTTATTAGGTTATAACCGCTCTTAGTAACATTTATTAGGTTATAACTGTTCTTAATAACATTTAATAGGTTATAACCGCCCTTGGTAACATTTATTACCCATTCGCTCCTTGATAAGCATGTAGTGAAAGTTAACTAATTGGGGCTGTTTCCTTTGAAGTCGGAGGGAAAAGCTGAGAGGCAAGGAATCAAACGTCTGTGTGCAACAACAAAAACCAGATGTGTAAAATGTATGCGCTTGCAAAACTCGGGTTCTTAAAAAAAAAAAAGTTCTGACATGGGCGAACAACCAAAGGTTACAGCTAGAGAACACAAAGAAGAAGAAATGTGGTTCCCATTTCATGAGGCTGGGATAACCCCAGACCACTGTGTGATATGTCATCATCATCCTTTGTGTGCTGTTTAGACATCACATAGGGCTGACATTTAATTCTTCCACTCCGCTCATTTGCATGCAAGTCTCTTGATTTCTGACATGGAATTCAGACCAGCATTTTTAGTTTCTCATAACAATGTTGTTATTATTATTTCCCTTTGATGTCCTCTTTTTCTCAGACCATTTGTTTCCCAGTTTAGTGCTTGATTTATTTGTAATTCTTTGTTCATTTAATCTCAGAGTGTGCCTAGTATATCTCCACCTTCTTTGTCTTATCACAAACAATACAGGTGTTTGTCCAGACATTTCTCTCATCTCCTTAGTTTTTTTTTAAAAATTCATCCCATTTTATTTTCCTTATTTTTATCAAATATTTATTTTCGAATGAATTTAACCTCCATTTCCTATCTTTCATGGTTCTCCGGCTGTCACTGGCATATGTTAGAATTCAAATAACGTTAGAATTGAAGATTCATAGTTTGCTAATAATGCTGTAAAACTTGGAGCTCCATATTTTGTTAAGACTATTAAGGACAATTGTTGCTTTGCCATTATATATCATAATTTCCTTGTTGTAGCTCCTTGAAAGTTAAAACTGCTACCCAAATAGGTGAATTGGTCCATAACTTTGATTGGTTTTTTTTCTCTAGCATGACATCTCCATGACCTGTTGTTGGTATCTTCAACATATTTGTTTTCTCATAACTTATTTGTTGTCCAATGTTTGATGCTGTAGATGACAAATCATCTGTTTTTCTTTGCATGTCTTTGCTATTTTTACTAAACAGAACAGTATCATCGGCAAAATCCAGATCGTCAAGTTGTCCATTCTCTACACAATCAATGCCAGTATTGCCTTTGCAATATTTTTTCATTACTCAGTCAATGACTATTCGGAACAAGAGAGATAAAATGCAGCTTTGCTCTACTCCAGTTTCCACCAAAAACCAGTCATTTAGACCATTTTGATTGTGCACTGCACGTTCTGAACCATCGTATAAGTTTCTCATAATGCTCATTATTTTGGCTGGTAGGCTGTAGCATTCCAAAATCCTCCATAATGAAATTGTGTGTGAGCTGTCAGAGGCCTTCTTGAAATTATTAAAATTCAGGATAAGAGGTTGTTGCTTTTCAGTGTGTTCTTCTAGAATAAGTCTCAGGGTGATTATTTGATCCAGACAACTTCTTCCAGTTCGAAAATCAGCTTGTTTTTCCCTCATGAGTGTATGCGGAAGCTGCTGTTCGTGAGTCCCAGCCATCTAGTTTAGCCCCGATCCACGCCGCGTGAGCGGCGTGAAGGATACTCTCGGCAAATTAGGTCGCCAGAAGTGCGCAATTGACACGTGACTGAGGCCCTGTTTTTGGCCGCCATCTTTTGTGCCCGTTATTCGGAGGATAGCCCACTAATTTGTCCCTCATTTATCGGGGGTGAAGTCCTTATTGTTTCTTCTTCAAACTTCATTAAATCTAGTGCATGATACATGTATATCAGCTGTTAAATGAAGATTACATCTGGACAGTATTGACAAAGCCATGCACAGCTTGGGCTACAAGAGTGGTTATGCCCTGCCAGAAAGACATCTTCCTAACCCTGTGGATATAGTCTTGGTCTACTCCCAAAAGGTACTTGCTTCTTGATTTTTTTAATTTTTATATTTTATTTAATTTTTTAAATATTAAAAAAAAATATGATGTTGAGTTGAGTTGAGTCAAGAATCTACATCATGGCACTCGGAGCATTCCCATGCAAGCTCTGTCCCCATCTTCAGCAGCCAGCACCGAGATCCAATACTGATGGTACTGGTCATAATCTGGTTATATGTTCGTCTTGCCTTTCCTCTGAGTGTAATGAGCCGACCAGACCCTCTGGTTACACCCAGATGCCTCATTCTCTCCAGGCCATAATAATCTTCTATCTTTACAGATTCCATTGCTTGTTCCCAAAGGGCCTTGACCACATCTGCCTTGTCATGTATCTAGTTTACCACCCAGTGGTGCAGATCCAGCCAATTTGTCTGCCTGTTGATTACCCACCACGCGGCATGGCCTGGAGAAAAGATCCAAAGTATGCTCACTACCCGTGACTTTTCCAGTGAAGCTTGCCACTCTGCTCGAGAAAATATAAGTGTGTATTCAGCCTTCATTTAAACCCTTTGGCAATAAGAAGGGTTACTCTAGTCACTTTCAGTTGTGACACAGCCCCCTAACTGCTGATAATTCACCATTTGTGCAGCAAAGTTAGATTACATTGATATTGTATGTATCTGCCTGGTGTCTAGGATTGGATCTGAATATATTAACTAAATAAAGTAGTACCTTGGGCCGCGAACTTAATTTATTCTTTATCTCTGTTCGCGAAGCCAAAACTTTTGTGGGCCGAAACATTTTTCCATTGAAATCAGTGCAAACCCAATTAATCCGTTGTTACAGTTCAGTAAGTTCTTCTTAGATACAAACCTGAGTACAAATGATGCTTTCTTGGGAACTGAAAACATGGTGCCAAATCTATATTTGTGCATCATGCAACAAGAAATTGTTCTCAGGTCGAGTCAGATGTGTTCATGTGCCAGTTTGTTCACGACTAGAGGTGTTTGTGAGCTGAGGTACCCCTTATGGCATTTAGAAGGGTGTCCTTGTTTTTTTAAAGCTAAGTTGACTTATAAAGTTCTACCCTTAGCTTTAGTGATAGAGGTCAGGGGTCACGACATGAGTATAGCAGATGTGGATGTTAAACTCAAGTTCTGGAGCAAGACTAAAGTTCCAAAAGTGAACAAACATCTAAAACTCCCCCCCCCCCCTCCCACAGAGTTTACATATACTTAGAGAGAATGCCTTGTGACACTATACCATACAAAGCATACATGGAAAGAGAAGGACGTAGAGCACGGGGTAGACCAAGAACAAGATGGAAGGATAACATCAGAGAAGCTCTACAACAGCACAATGTGCCTATGGTCGAGGCAGCCAGAAGAGCCAGAAACAGAACCTTATATCTCTCTCGACACCCACAGCGGTAAAAGAGGAAGTGAAGAAGGCGAAGAAGAAGAAGAAGTATTTCTAATGTTCCTTCACTGATAATCTTCCATGCTGCTCAAACAGCCGATCCAGCATTTTCTTCCTGGTAGTTGCAACTTCTTCCCAAAAATATTCTCTCTGATGTAAAACGGCTGCTAGGAAAAGAACTAGACTCCCAACTCCTAATGCTATGTCCTAATATTACGAGAGCCTCTTAATAGGTATACAACCTTATTTTTCTCTCTTTGTATCGTCTTCCTGTTTTTGACATAGAACATTTGCAAGTGTCTTTACGACCACTAATCTGCTACTTTTCTGTCCATGTAATTTTACATTCCTTCGTTTCTCTGTCTGCTGCCCTTCTCCAGGTTTCCTTAGGTCATCCACGTCTCTTTTTTTTTCATGTGCCCTCCATTGGAGAGCTGTTCTTGTCAGAGTGTCATGAGCTTCATTGATAACGGTCAGGAGGTCACGACATCAGTGATTTGATACTTGTTTACTTTAGGCCGCAAGTATTGCATATGAAATAAATAAAAAAGAGACAACTGAAATACTTTGGCCACATTAAAAGACATATCACACTTTTAAAAACCATACTGGAGGGAAAGGTCGAAGGCAAGAGAGTAAGAGGTCGGCAACCATACAAGTGGGAGGAGAACATTAAGACATGGACGGGCAGCAATCTGAGAGAGTGTACAGCCAGGACAAGAGACAGAGTATGTTGGAGATCCATTGCAGCCGACCTTCACTGTGGAGATGCCACCCGACTGATGCCAACTGCATTCCTTTCCCTCTACTATTTTTATATTTCATAAATAAAATAAAAACCAATTAAATAGTTACCTGTCATGAGGCATTCTGGTCTAACCCGTCTGCATCTGTTTCCTGTAATGACATTTGCCAGTGATAAACATTTTGCTCTCCTCCTCAATTGTTCATTGATGATATCAGTGTTGGCTAAAATATTCACAGGATTCTCTTCAAGGATTTGTTTTGAAAAGTCTCTAGATTTTGTGGCAGCATTTAGTATAAGATTATTTCTACTTTTCACTGTTCAAAGGTTTTCCCTCTGGACTATTTGATGATGGTGGGAATTATCGCTTACTTTGTACTGTGCTCTATGTCTGGAATTAGACGCATTGGGATCTGGTTTCTGTGGATTCGGGTATGTATACCTATCTAAAGATGTATTCAGTGTCTGATGTTGCGTCTATGATAGGTTTCATTTAACAAAATAATCTTACTTGTTGTCTGTTGAATTCTTACATAATGTTATGTGCGTACGGATAAATTATTACATTATTTTCAGTTGATTAAATTTGTGATTATAATAGTTGAAACCTGAAAAATATGTACATTATAGTTATTGTCTGTTACTTTCCTATGTAGTATATCTTCTAAAAACTCTTTTATTGTCTCACCTAAGTTCTGGTCAAGTATTGTTTTACAATATTTATCGATGTAGAAGACACTTTTTTTATTCCCAAACTAGGCCTTAAAATTAGGCTCTGTCTTATACATTGAAGTCAGCTCTGTGGCTATGTCGATGCGAACGCTTCGTAATGCCAGGTTCGATCCTAGCTGCGGGTCATGCGCCTTGCGTTGATTTCGACAGTGGTATCAAGAAAGCCGACCGTCCAGAAAGCAATGGCAAACTACTGGATGTAAATTCACCTAGAGAAACCACACAACAGCCCGGGGCTGGAGGGGTTGGTTCTGCAATGTCCTGTAAAGGATACACAACTAACCTTATACATTGAAGGTAGGCCTGCATGTACCATTATTTTCATAGTTGCTGCTGATATGGAAAAAGATAGTACAACATGAATGTTAAACTCCAGGGGATAAAATATGTTGAAGAACCTGGTATAAGGTCAGCAGAGTGTCATTTCAGATCTCCATCGACAGGGAAAAACCCATAAGGCTTTGGCAGTCTCAGCAGGATATTTAGTGCAAAATGAACACAGGAGAACCTGTGTGACATTGGACAAGTGCAGAATGAACAAAGGAGAACATGTGTGACATGGGACAAGTGCAGAGTGAACACAGGAGAACCTGTGTGACATGGGACAAGTGCAGAATGAACAAAGGAGAACCTGTGTGACATGGGACAAGTGCAAAATGAACAAAGGAGAACCTGTGTGACATGGGACAAGTGCAGAATGAACAAAGGAGAACCTGTGTGACATGGGACAAGTGCAGAATGAACAAAGGAGAACCTGTGTGACATGGGAAAAGCGCAGAATGAACAAAGGAGAACCTGTGTGACATGGGACAAGTGCAGAATGAACAAAGGAGAACCTGTGTGACATGGGACAAGTGCAGAATGAACAAAGGAGAACCTGTGTGACATGGGACAAGTGCAGAATGAACAAAGGAGTACCTGTGTGACATGGGAAAAGTGCAGAATGAACAAAGGAGAACCTGTGTGACATGGGAAAAGTGCAGAATGACCAGAATGAGAGACTTTTGTATTGATATGAGTACAGGAATTAAATGTGGGTATTTTCTGGAATTTGGTAATTTGTGGAATGTGTCTTATACAAGGGATAGTCTTATACATCAAACAGTACAGTTTGTCTTAAATTGATTTCATGTGAGCCCTTTAGGGATTCCTGGCTCCCAATTGGGGGAGGGGGGGGGGGGGAAACAAGAGTAGACCCACGAGGCGACAAACCATATGCATAAAATCGTATGCATAAAAAAAAATATATTCATAAAAATAAGCCACATCTCCACAATAGATGTGCATGAAAAACTCAAGTTCTGGAACAAGACCAAAGTCCAGAAGTGGACAAACAACCAGAAATCTCTGCTGGAGTTTGCATCTGGTGAACACTAAGAAAGCTAGACTTCCTCTTTTACTGCTTTGGGTGGGTATCGAGGTAGATAGATTATTTTGTTCTTCTGGTTGCCTTGATCTTGGCAGTGTTGTTTTCCTGATGTTATCTTTCCACCTTGTTTGTAGTCCTCTAGATGTGCTGGTACTTTGGTGTAAGTAAAGTTGAATGATATGCGATATATTTTTGATTCAAATTCCCCCATAGATGTACAGAATTCGCCCTCGGAGAACCAGACCTCAAGGCATCCTCATGTTCTGCATGATCCTGATGTTCATTGTCCTCGCTGTCAACATTGTGCTGTATGAGCTGACACCCCAGTACTCATCCTTTGGCAGTCAGCATTACGTAAGTGTGTTTGCGTGTCTTTTGAACACGTCAAGGGTATCTCCGCGGAGGTTTGCATGCTAACCCAGTGCCTCCAGAGTCATGAGTTCCATCTTCTGTAGGGGCTGTCACTTGCATGGCCTTAGGAAATCTACATCAGTGGTTTTCAACTTAATTTTTTTAGGTGGTGCCCTCCTTGATTATATGGCAAGGACCCCCCCCCCCCCCCCCACCCAATTTAAAAAAAATGATAAATAAGACAAGGACAAACAGAAAAATCCCAGGCACTGTTAACAAGAACTTGGAGAAAAAGTAAAAGTAAATTAAAGGACCTTTTTCCACACCTTTCAGGCGTATTGGGTATATAGGGCTAGTCCTATTTTTTTTTATAGACCAACCGCACAAGATGGGTTATGGGGTCAGCATCACGCCGACCGCCTTTACTTCCCGGGACTGCACCTGGTACCCACTCAAGGCTGGGTTGACCTGGGAGCCAAGATAATTTTTGAAAAAAGTCAGGCTCCGCCAGGAAGCGAACCTACAACCTTCCGATCCACAGGCAAGCGTCTAGCCGCTACGCCACGGTGACTCCCAACTTGGAGATGGTTGATGGTTGACGCTGTTTTGTGTCGATGATATCTGCTGTTTTTGGTCATGTGTCTGCAAGGGAGGTCACTCTTCACATTAAGTTGGCAGCGCTCTTTTGTTTACAGACACAAATGTACACATTCAAACTTGCTTGAGGCCCCGTTGAATCTTCCTTTCACATCTAACCCCACCTCCACAGATACAAATGTTCACATTCAAACATGCTTGAGGCCCCGTTGAATCTTCCTTTCACATCTAACCCCACCTCCACAGATACAAATGTACACATTCAAACTTGCTTGGGGCCGCGTCCGTGGCTTAGGTGTTGCGAGTCCGACTCATAATCCAGCGTAACGCGTTCAAAACCCACTTCAGGCTGCGTGGATTTTGATCACGGTATGGGGGGTTGCAGGTCGACCCAGCCTAAAATAGGTACCAGGATGGGCTGTCCTGGGAAAGTAAAGACAGCCGGCGAAATGCTGACCACATTACCCACCGAGTGCTGATGGTCTGTACAAATATAGGCGCTCTTTCCATATGCCTGATACGCCTGAAAGTGTGGAAAAGGATCTTTACTTTTTTACTTACTTACTTGCTTGGGGTGCTGTTGAAACTTCCTTGCACATCTCAACCCACCCCCACAGGCTGAAAACCACAGGTCTAGTCTGGCATCCAATAAATTCAGTGACCACTCATATGTTCTGTGATCACCCATATGTTCAGTGGCCACCCATATGTTCAGTGACAACTCATATGTTCAGTGGCAACACATATGTTCAGTGGCAACACATATGTTCAGTGACAACTCATATGTTCAGTGGCAACACATATGTTCAGTGACAACTCATATGTTCAGTGACAACAAATATGTTCAGTGACCACTCATATGTTCAGTGACCACTCATATGTTCAGTGACCACTCATATGTTCAGTGACCACTCATATGTTCAGTGACAACGAATATGTTCAGTGAACACTCATATGTTCAGTGACAGCACATATGTTCAGTAACAATGCATATATGTTCAGTGATAACGCATATGTTCAGTAACAATACATGTGTTTAGTGACCATCTATATGTTCAATGACCACCCATATGTTCAGTGACCAGCCATATGTTCAGTGACCAGCCATATGTTCAGTGACCACCCATATGTTCAATGACCACCCATATGTTCAGTGACCATCTATATGTTCAATGACCACCCATTTGTTCAATGACCACCCATATGACCACCCATATGTTCAGTGACCACCCATATGTTCAGTTGCAACACATATGTTCAATGACAACCCGTGTGTTCAGTGACCACTCATAAAGTCTTTATCTTCTGGCATTTACCTTTAAAAGAGGGTCAGCAAGTTGTGTTGTGATTGACAGCTGGGCTGCTATCTGCACCTTTTGGCTTTACACATTTAATTTCAGTGAACGTTTTATCAGTCGTCTGTTATGTCATGCTTTTTAGGTGGGGGTCAGTGAGTCTATCCCCCCCACCCCCCCATCCTCCCCATCCCCCTAAATGGTGCTTGTGAGCCCACACGGGGAACCCATTTATATTATAATATTTGCTTTGTTGTCATATTCATCCCCACTGTACCAATGTCAGACTTGAGCCATAGAAATGAGATGTGTGAGAATGGCTGTTGGAGGGATCAGAAGAGATAAAACCCAGAATTAATTTGTAAGACACAGAGCCAGTACTAAATTACACACAAAGACTGAAAATAAAATGGTTTATCAGTTTAGAAAAAATGCCTTAAAAATGCCATGTAATAAAGGCATACACCAACTAACAACAAACAAAAAGAAAGAAAGGGGCATGGGGCAAGGGGTAGACCAAGAACAAGATGGAAAGATAGCATCACATAAACTCTACAGCACTATAATGTGTCTATGGCCAAGATGGCCAGAAGAGCAAGGACCAAAACCTTATACTTCTCAACACCCATAAACGGTAAAAGAGCATGTGAACAAGAAGATGTGCCAGGTGGAAGTAAGCTAGCTAAGTAAAACTCCTCAGGATCTTAGTTTAATCATCTTGTATAGCAGTAAATATTTCGGCCTGTCTTTTGTAAAAAAAGATCTTGTATCAATTAAAATAGACATGTATAGATCAGCACTCATAGAAGAAAGTTGGAAGATATAAGGACACACTAGACAACTTGAAAACTGAAAGCTATAGTTACCATACCAGGATTCGAATCTTTCACCTCCAAAAGTCAGTTCCCCATCTGTTTACTTTGTGTATTTAGTAAAAATCTGTTAAATTGTTTTACTCTTAGGTGAATGAAACAGCCAGGAACACAACCGCACACTCTGGAGACGTCAAACAGTGTACAACGGCTGTTAGTCAAGGTGTGTGACTTTTGCTTGTATGTGACTGTTTGCATAAATGGTATAAAGTTTGCATATTGTTGCATATCTACAGGTTTTGCCTTTACAGAACCCTTCCTGTCAGTCAGGGTATATGACTTTCTCTTTTATGTGACTTTGTTTGAATAAGTGGTATAAAGTTTGCAAACACGCCAGAATACGTAACTGCTGAACGTGTGGTGGTGCACGAAGACGTAGACACAGACTGGTCAAGATCAATGCACACCTCTTTGTGGTCATCCTGGACATAGGTTTCCAACTGGGGTCCTGACCAACTTAGATAGGATGCATGTTCCCTCTGAATCAGAGTGCATCTGCCTGAGATTCAAGGAACTAACAGTCTGCACACAAAAAAGCCAGATCTATGGAATAAGTGTGCATCTACACTCAAGTCCTTTCAACATGACCTTGGCTCTCAGGCTGACGCAGCCTAAATTAGGAACCAGAAATTGTCCTTGGAAGTAAAAGTGGCAGCAAAATGTGGACTGTAAAAAGTTAGGTCAAGCACAGGTCATGTGTCAGAGGCAGGAAAGGGTTCTTTACTGACTTTTATATCAATCACATTTATGATGCTTTGGTCATGTATGCAGGATTGGCCACCATGACAGGGATGGGAAGCCAAAAGCCAGGGAACAAAGCCAAAACATAAAATGGCAGACAGAGGAGTCTGGCAATCTTTCTGGCAAACCTTTGCATCCCAAGGTAGAAGGTAGCTAAGTACTTACTATATAATTTATATTTATTTTATATACAGTATTTAATTGTCACTTTTGTTTATTTATGTGAAGATTTCTGTGTCGTCACGCGGATGACCCTTCTGCTGGTTCGATTCTTCTACAAGATGTGGGTGTTTGGTGCTGCATACTACTGGCTTACCTGGGTCTTCCTGGGGGTGAGTATCCAAACTGTATGAAATGGCGCTCATGCGCAAAGCTTCAAATTAATCTTTCGCCTTGCTTTTGCTGAAAAAGCATCGCAGAGAGGATTGTCTATTTGTTTGCATTCACCGGCTGTAATCCCCAGTGGAAAGACCTGGTTGTTTGTCCATTTCTTTACTTTGGCTTTGTTTCCGTGCGTGAGTTTTGCATGTACATCCATTTTACAGATCATGCGTATTTGTGGACTGTTGGTTCCCTGCCTCTCTGGCAAATGCACTCCAACTTTGAAGGAAACCCCAAATCAGTCGACTTTTATGACATGCTTGTTGGGGAGGCAGTGGGTCTTGAAACCCACACCAGGAAGAGAGGATTTAGTTGTAGTTTCCTGTCTTTTACTAGTTGCATAGTTTGTGTTTAGGTCGTATTGCATTTCTGTAGTGTCTTTTTTACTCCCTTCATCCATCTCTTTCTTGATTAGCCTCTTGACCTGTAGCCTGCTGTTTTCAGACAACCCGATTAATCAGACATAAATGTTGCATTTCTTCTTCAGCATTCTGAGTCCTTGAGATTCATTACTTCAGATATCACCTGTCTCCATTCATCTTTGTGATTGGCCTCCTCTTTCCTGATTGGCCTTCTCTTTCCTATTGGTGACTCCAAATGTTTGTTGTTCTGTCTTTATATTATCTGTCCACCATCTTCTTGGGCTACATCATGGTCTACTCCTATTCAGCTCTTCTGTCTGCACAGTTTTTTGTCTGTGCCGTCTGCCATTCTGTCTGTATGAACTTACCATTGCAGTCAGTGACTCTCCATATGTTTGTAGGGTCTGCATGTAAATTATCTATGTATACTCCTAGTCAACTATTTTCTTGATGCAGTCTTTGTCTGTGTTATCTCTCTTTATACCCCAGCCATTGCAGCCCATAAGCTGTTATAATGCCAGTAATTAGGGATGATTTAAGCAGATTATGAATTTCATTGTTGCTTGTCACTCTCCATTTTCTGCTGTTTGCATCTGGGAATAATATCAGAAGAAATTTTGATGTGAATTATAAATGTGAGTGAAAAATAAAATAAAACTATTAAAACATGCTGCGTCATAGAAGTAAAATAAAACTATTAGAACATGCTGCGTCATAGAAGTAAAATAAAACTATTAGAACATGCTGCCTCATAGAAACAATCTCTTGTTGGTTTCCATTCACCAGCTGTAACTCTGGAATTTTTGTCTGCGTCCAGGAGCATCAACAGCATAGATATGGTCTGCATTTCTTCTGAAGTCTGAGTGCATTTGCCCGAGAGGCAAGGAGCTCAACCAACAGTCTGCACACAAATAAACCAGATCAGTAAAATGAATGTGCTTGCAAAACTCAAGCTCTGGAACAAGACCAAAGTCCAGAAGTGGATGAACGACCAGGACTTTTCTTAGTTTACAGCTGGTGAATGCAAAGAAGAAGGAGCAGAAGGATTGTTCAGTATTCTGTGGTGCAAATAAGTTATATGGTTAAAATAATTGGTTATTTTCATTTGTCATCCCAATGTGGGATGCAATTTTTTCATTATTTGAAGCCCCACCCTGACTTTCGCCAGGGGCCCTGAATATAGCTGGGTCACAATTGTGGCCATAACGGCTGAAAGGGGTTTCCGGGAACTCTCCATGGGTGATCCTCATCCGCATGGTGGCACTATGTGTCACCGGGTGTTTATCACTTGTGTGATGTCCTGGTGGGGTAGAGCAAGCAAGCAAGTAAAACACTTGGAACACGAATGCATTCAGAACATATCAGAAGTCTACTCTCCATGGGTGATCCTCATCCGCATGGTGGCACTATGTGTCACCAGGTGTTTATCGCTTGTGTGATGTCCTGGTGGGGTAGAACAAGCAAGCAAGTAAAACACTTGGGAACACGACTGTGCATTCAGAACATATCAGAACTCTACTCTCCATGTGGGCTTCCTGGTCCCACTTTTGGCTTTAGAAAAAAAAAAACTGCTCTTTAACAAGAATGCCATTTTAAAAAAACTAATCAAGATTTTCGGCAAGACATCTGATCTGCTGGGTTGAAAGTGCAGATATGCAGCCTAGCTGTAAACCACAGCGCTTGGCAACATCTCTTTTTAGAGCAAGCACAAACGAACTTCTTCTTCTTCTTCTTCGTGTTCACCAGCTGTATACTCTGGCGGAAAGTTCTGGTTGCTCATCCATTAGTGAACTGCCGTCCTGCTCCAGAACCTGAATGTTGCGTGTTCATCAATTTTACAGATCTCATTCTCTTGAATACAGACTGTTGGTTCCTTGCCTCTCCGGCAGATGCACTCCGACCTCAAAGGAAGCTCCCCAATTAGTCGACTCTTACGACATGCTTTTGGGGAGGCAGTGGGTCCATTCTTGTTTTCCCCACAATGGGGCCCCGCAACCCACACGGGGGATGAAAAACGAATTAACGAACACAATTTATTTTCAAAGGGTCACAAATTGGGCACACAGACCCATCTTATATTCGGCCCTTCCAAACACCTGTCTTTCGCACAGCAGTTGTATTTTATCAGTAAAGCATGTTATATTCATATGGTAATATGCGTAATATCAAGAAAAAACAAACAAAAAAGCATGGGTGGTAAAATGCATCCACTCACCAGCGAATACGCACACTCACACACAGATGCCCACATACATGGGCCCGCCCACTCACTTGAACACGCATACACCCACTTACATTCACACACATACACAGACGTAAATTCACACACACATACTCATACATTCCACACACACAAACATACATATACATACATGCAGATGTAGATACACCCACAGAAACACACTCAAACACACACACACACATGTGCACAGACGTGCATGCACAGACGTGCATGCACAGACATACACACACAGACACAAACCCGCAGACACACACATAGACACACATGCAAAAACATAAACATACACAGATACACACACACACAACCCGCAGGCACTGAAGAATGAGGTCGCTGTTTAATGATTTAGTGCCCGTTTAATGACTGTTTATTGATTTAGTGCCTGTTTAATGGCTGTTAATTGATTTATTGCCTGTTTAATGGCTGATTATTGATTTAGTGCCTGTTTAATGGCTTTTCAGGAGCGGCTGGCTGAACGGGTAAAATGCTAGGCTCTCATGCTTGAGACCTGGGTTCGAATCCTCAGTAAGGCCAGGGATTTTTTTTCTGTCGGGGGCAAAAATAAAATCTTCACCTGCACAGTCTGTGGCGACAGCACTAGCCATGCGACCCTAATTTATCAGGCTCAAAGACCCCACTACCTACGCCGCAAAAGTGGAATATAAAGGCAGTAATCGGCAGTTTTGGCACTTAATGGCTGTTTTTTGAAATAATTTCTGTATTTTGACTTTGTATGTTACGTATCTTCAACAGACATTTTTGCTGGGGTTCCTTATTGCAATCATCAAGAAACGTCGCTCGGCCATAAGTGGTGAGGTGGACGAGGATGATTTTGATGAAAGTGATGACGAGATGATAAGAGGATAAACCACAAAGGAGACAAAACAAGAATTAAAAATTTTGTTCTTGTAGTTACATTTACATGTACATAGAATGTTTCAGTGTTGTTTTATTTCTGTTAGCTTTCATATTTAAAATTAATGTCACAAGTTCTTTTGATCTGTTATATTCTATTCTCCCCATTCGTTACTTGGGCCTCTGGTTGCTGCTTTAATACTTTTGCAATGTACAGAGATAGTATCAGTTCTTTCATTGTTGACATTGCAGGGATACACTTGGATATACTGTCCGGGATATGCAGGAGTGTAAGGGAAGGAAAGAATTAAAATGGTGTCTGGCTACAAGAGCAATAGCTACTGGAACACTTGTACCGGACAGGTTTGAGGTTTTGAACAACAGATCAACATCATGGCACACGGGTAGTAACCCAAAAGTGCTCCGTTCTTCTTCTAACTCAAGTCTGAGTCTGAAGAAGCTCAGCATAGTGCACAGGTTCTGTAGCACCGGCGAGGATCCTGAAATACTTTGGGTAGATTTTGAACTCTAAATTTTGGTCTAAATGTTGCTTGGGCAGCGCCGTTAGACTACTCTTTTCGATTTCCAACTGCCAAGGGATTTTTTACGAACGCAACAATGCACACGGGACAAAGGAGACATTCTAAAGACCATTTATAAAGAAATACTGATAGAAGACAACATGTAAGCATATGTGAATGAGGAATTAGGTGGGGATCCTGCAAGGAAGGACGTATGATAGGAAAAGAATGACACGTGTTGAATGTTGAATTAAGAATCGACTTCACAGGACTTGTAGGAGGTGGAGAAGACGTGTGTGGAAACAGTGTGCTACAGAAGCAGCATCTGTAACTTAAGACGTTTGCTGCAGGAGACGGAGACTCCATGAATATTTCCGGTGTGCTATAATGTTGATTCTAAAATTCAGGAGTAGATCAGCATGTTGTGATGATGTTTTATTTCCTTTGAATTCACATTCATCATTCACATCGCAATTTCTTCTGATATTATTACTTATCGTCAGTTATTTGGTCACCACTCTTGTGTTTTACTGTTTCTGCCTTGTTTTCTTGTTTAATAATAAATTTTGCGAATATGTTGATGTATTGACGCAATAATTTTTCAACAAATTAATGTAAATCCTCCATAAAAAAAAAATATCATTGAACTGCTTACTCAGCTTTTTGGGCACAAAAAAAAAAAAAAAAATAGCGTGTAACTAAAAGTCTCGGCGGAAATGGTTGAAGCTTGTTCTCCCCATGTAGGGTCAGGGGCACAATTATTCAGGGGGAGAAGGGGGTTGGGGTAGACCGACTACTCCTTAGCAAGTATCTTGGGACTGATTAAGAGGTTGATGGAATCAGATGTATTAGGGTGAGAAGCAGATATCACAGCCAAGCTGTAAAATACAATGTTCTAACTGTTCTTTTGAGGGCTAATGCAGAAAAATAAAAAGAAGAGGAAGCTGGTTCCGATATTTCACAGCATTTAAGGACCGCAGCAAAATGGAACAAAATTAATAGAAAAAACATAGCGTTTCAATGTGTGGGATCTAGAGCCCTATGTGGCGGAGGGGGGGGGGGGGGTGGCATCAAGAGACTCGCTGCCTCCTGACCATGGTATATCATAGAAGGCGACTAATTGGAGGTTTGCTGAAATCAGTGTGTTGGCTTAAATCTGCAGATATCGCAGCCTGTTTGTAAAGCACAACAAATATTGAAGTGGGCTGGAAACAAGAAACAAAAAGAGGCAGACATGATTAACCAAAACCGTATTGGATGTCTAGAAGCTTATTTTCTTGTGATTTATTCAGACACCGACTCTCTAGCAGGATGTCCTAGAGCGTTGACCTGGATACCAAACACCTGAAGTCGGATGTGTGAGCCCAAAGGTGCAAATATTGCAATTATGCTATAAACAGGCACAACACAGTTGTGCAACACACCCAAAAAAAAAAATGTACTTAATAAAAACATACAAATGAGAACGTAGAAAAAATTGGTTGTTTTCCTAATCTGTATGAACAATAAAATCACTGAAAGACTCCTGCGAAATAGAACGCCTGGCCAAATCAGAAGGAGCTGAAACCAAGAAGGAAATATCAGAAATGAAAGATGCAAGAACAACACAGTTGACAACTGGATAGGGAATGAGTGGTCTGACATGGAGGGAAAAAGCATTGAGCCCAGAGATGGCACAAATAAACAAGACCACAAATATAGCAGGAGATTGTTGGCAGCTTTGGCTAGCTAGCAACAGGTTAAACGTAGCTAAGTTTTTGATATTTCCTAAAAAGAAATTGGAATAAAGGCAGTCAAGAATTTAGAGATACTGGTTCATTGAGTATGAATATTTTGTTCAGAAAAATGGGAAGGATAGAGGACTTTGGTGGCAGTGAATCCACATCACTCGCCAGAATGGCAGACTTGGGAATTAAGATCGGCACAGCAAAAAACGAGACGCACACCAGACACGCCAGAAGACTTGTTAATCAACATAGAACTGGTACTATTAGCCATCGGACGTTGGGGTTCATACTGAGGGGAGGATCTGAGCACCTATCGACATGTCCGGAGTGCAATGAGGATAACCCAACTAACTAACTAACTAATTTTGTTCACATTTCCCATTTGTTATTTGCCGAAGACATTAAACCAAACAAAATTAGAACCAGCGAGATTCACAGTATAACATGTTTATGAGTTAGCTGAGACCAATACTCTATTGAGAGATAAAAGACAGAAGAAAAAAAAAACGATGAACTCAAAAGAACGAGAAATATTAGCACTACACATTAAAATAATCACTCTTTATGTAGACTGTTAAACGAGAAATCAAGTTTTGAACATTTTACACTAATTTAAATGTGCAACTCATCCTTTGACTAACGTACTGAACTGTTTGTGAGTAAATTTCATATTTTGATTACAGTGTTACTTTAAAGATGTTTGTTTTACAAAATAAAATGTAGCAATAATTCAAAGCATTGTGTTTTTTCAGTGTTGACGCATATATTGTTATTATTGTTGTGTTGAATGAGTTGAGTCAAGAATTTACATCACAGCCCTAGGGGCAATAGCCTTGTGCGCTCCGTCCTCATCTTCAGCAGCCAGCGCAGAGTTCCAGTACAGATAGTACCAGTCACAATCTGGTTATATGTCCGTCTTGCCTTTCCTCTGAGTGTAGTGAGCCGAGTGTAGTGTTGTGTTGAATATTGATAACGACAATCTGGAAGAAAAAAACAACGCTATTTACTAGAGTTTCTAGGATGGGAAATGTTGAAAACCTATACGTGGAGAGAATGAAGCAGCCGGGAGTGTATGCTGACTATGGGCATTACTCGAGATTCAGGCGGGAGGGGGAGGGGGGCAAGTCGAGCAGTTAACCAGGTGACAACATGTACCATCAGTTCAAAGACTCTTCGCTGACTGTTGGGGAGGGGGAAACAACTCTAATATGGACATATTCTGATTGCCGTGATGTGGAATCTTTGCCCAGATTAATCCAGATCTAGGGTCTGGAGATCAGGATATACAGGAAAGTATGTCGTATTTTATGGAGATAACCAAATAGATAGACTTTAAAAAAAGACCGCTATAATTCATTGTAAGATAGAAATCTTTCTCTTATTAAATGTAAAAAAGTAAAGGACCCTTTTCCACGCCTTTGGGATATAGGGCTAGACCTATATTTTATAGACCAATCAGCACAAGATGGGTGATGTGGTCAGCATTACACCGGCCGCCTTTAGTTCCTGGGACTGCACTCAGTACCCACTTAAGGCTCGGTCGACCTGGGAGCCACGGTTATTTAGGAAAAAAAAAGTCGGGCTCTCGAACCCACGACATTTCGATCCGTGGCGAGCGCCTAACCGCTCCACCACGGCAACTTTCCCCTTTCTACTCTTAGCGTTTTGAAAAGAAAAAAAAAGTAAGCAAAGGTTCCATTACAGGCAAGCGGCACGTCGACAATACATTGCAAGATTCACATCTGTATAGACGTCTCATGAACTCGCTCACCAGAAAATCAGCTTCCATAAACTTGCCCACCACAAATCAGCTCACATGAACTCGCTCACCACAAATCAGCTTAAATGAACTTGCTCGCCAGAAATCAGTTCACATGAACTCGCCCACCACAAATCAGCTCACATAAACTTGCTCGCCAGAAATCAGTTCACATAAACTTGCCCACTACAAATCAACTCACATAAACTTGCCCACCACAAATCAGCTCACATGAACTCGCTCGCCAGAAAATCAGCTCACATGAAATCGCCCACCACATATCAGCATGTTCTGTTGTTGTTTTATTTACTTCTAATTCACATTGATCATTAACATCATAATTTTTTCTGATTACATAAATTATCATCAGCTATTTTTTCATCTTTTATATATTTTACTGTTTCTGCCTTGTTTAGTGTTTCAAAAAATAAATTTTGCGATTTGTTGATGTATTGACACATTCATTTTTCAAAAAATTAATGTTAATCTCCCAGAAAAAAAATATCTTGGAATTGTTTACTCAGCTGTTTTTGGCGAAAGATTATGGGCTCAGTAAAAAAAAAAAAAATAATATAGTATGTAACCAAAAGTTTTGGTGGAAATCGTTGAAGCTTGTTCTTCCCATGCAGAGTTCTGGGCACATTTCTCGGGGGGAGGAGATGGGGGAGGGGTGAGTGGAATGGGTAGACCCACTGCTCCTTAGCAATTACCTTGGCGACTAATTAAGATGTTGATGGACTCAGATGAATTGGGCTGAAAAGCAGATATCACAGCCAAGCTGTAAAACACAACGTTCTAAATGTCCTTTTAAGGACTAATGAAGAAAATTAAAAAAAAAAGAGGATATCGCTGGTTTAGATATTTCTAGCATTTCACAGCATTTAAGGACCGCAGCAAATGAAACACAATAAATAGAAAAAACATAGCTTTTCCATGTGTGGGATCTGGAGACCCGTTGGGGGGTTGGGGGGGGGGGGGGGTGTGTGTGACCAAGAGATTCACTGC